CAATTATTATAATATATATTGTAATATGGTGATGGTGTGTGTAATTATCGTTATTATTATTTGGTATGATCGCAATATCGTCATAACTGGCGGATTTACGGTGTAAACAAGTGGGTAATAATTTCACCAGAAGCTGACAAAAAAAAAATGACCATAAGTGTGTATAAATATAATATTTAAATTATGTAATTTTCACACTTAAACCTATACCGCGCGTTTCATAACCTATCGCCCGACAGACTTGCCCGTGGAGCGTTATTTAATAATAATAATTATAATAATATATTATTATTATATTATCAGACATAATAATACCCACCTACTATTGTGGTCTATACTCGGCCACCACGCAAACAATGAGGAATAAGTAACATTAAAAAAATATATAAAATAGGTATCCTGTATAACGTTAGCATTTTTTTTTTTTTGCTCTGAAATTAATATTGCAAAAACAATCGACCGTGCGCCAGTGTCTATGAATAACTATGGAGAGATACGATAACAGTATATTCTATATTGTAATAATATGTATGTAATGTTGCACACGGCTTAGAGGAGTAAAAAAAAAATTAATAATAACGATAATGATAAATTCTACGCCGCCATTGTGTCGAGCCTAAGCTGTGCAGCACTGTGGTTGTGTGCAAAAAAAAAACGTGAACTTAATGTGTCGACCTAAAAATTATTAGTTGTTTAATATATTATAGTAGCTCAAACGATACGTTTTTGTTCTGTGAAACCGTTCTGCTGTCGAATGGAACCAAAAAACGTTTGTGAATAACCATTTTTGCACTGAGTTTTTTGAACTCATCTTGAACGTCTTGTCAACGGTTTAGTTGAGAAAACAAAATAACCTTTGGCCGTCCGTGTACAGTATATTTATTATTAATTCTGAAATCCAATAAAAGGTCATATACGCGTTTGAATTGGTTTGTAATTCTACATCTTGTAAGATATATATTTTTTTATAACTACTATTGTCCAGCCTTGGTAATTTTTGTTGTGTTACAGACCGGTTTCTGTTTGAATGGGATTGAACAAAAAATATATATATTATAAATTTGTCTTGTAGACTTTATTACATATTATTATTATTATTATTACGGAATAAACGATTCGGACCAGAAGTCTTTGCGGATACTTTCACCGACCGCGGTTCATATATGCGATACAACGATAGCAATATAATAATCATAACATAACAATGTTTTGTACGAGTAATAGTATAGATACCGGGTATAAGTGCACCCACCTGTAACTCTGTCGTCGGAGCACCTGTTGAGGTCGTCAGAGGAACACGAACATTAAAATATATATTATCACTTATCAGTCATACTACCGGGCTAAGGATAAAAACACCGTGTCGTCGGGAGTGACCTCAAAACCGTTGAGCTTTTTTATTCGCTCAAGAATAGTGTAGTCTATATATATATATTTAACAATATATTATTATGTTGTCTGCGTGCACTCGCGTGGGATACATTGTGTGTTGTAAAAATTCGTTTTGAATGGAATAACAGTTAGTGTATTTTTAATCGAATCGTGTACAAAAAACAGGTACACACACACACTTAATCCGATCGGACCGAAGTCTGCGCCAACAGGGTCATATTGAAAAAAAATAAATAGAGTATGTTAGTTGTACCTTTGTATGCTCACGATCCAGTTCAATATATAACATATTATTTTATTATTACCGTGCGAGCTCTTTGTTTTTTTTTAATTACTATTCACTCTGCTTCGTTTTTTAAGCACCCTTTTTTTTTTAGTAGTAGCGTTATATTAAACTACACATAGAGAATATTATAACGGTGATCTCTACCGTGCGCGTTTCCGCTTCAGAAACAGGTTAGACCGCGTCGGTATATCATACTACTTGTACACAGGACAGGGGTATAACGTAACGCTTCCATTTACAATACTTTACCATCGCACATCGCAGCTATTATGCTCTTGATTAACTCATGTTCACTGTTATAGTGCCGGTGCGATATTAGATAATATTACAAATTGTATGTAAAACTCATATTTTAAATGTCCCTGGCCGTACGGGTTTTTTTGTCTAAGTTAAAAAAAACATTGCTAATAACATAATAATATCTAACGACTGATATTTTGCCAACACGAATTTTGTTTAGAATTTATCACGTTTTCGATCAAACTCTGATCAATTAATGATTCATAAATTATAGCAAGTTAAAAAAAAATATACATTCAAAACGGCTATTACGGTGATAATGTTTTTTTACACATTTCCAAAACTAGAATTACTAGTACTACTAGCGTTGTGTGTGCGTTAATGATAACCTATAATTATTATTATTATTTTGTACCGTCTGTGTACAGTTGCAGACACCTGATGTGTGTGTCATAGCAAAATGGGTAAAAGAAACAGCAAAAAAAAAAAACCGTATCTGTTTTCCCTAAAAACATTATGTTGTAAACCGTTAAACGATTACCTGGCGGTTGCGGGTTGCAAACAATTAGTTGCCAACACAATGCACGGCGTCTCATCGTATCGTGGCGTACATCAAACCAACGAGGTTTGAATAACGATTTAACGCAAAAAAAAATGTAATATTACTAGAAGTAGAACGTTTTTTTACCGTACAAGAAGAAAATAATAATAATTGGAATACAGAAATGCAACATATGTATACATTTGAGTTCATGCGGTGCTTTGTAGTTTTTTTTTTTTAGGAAATATTGCTATTGACTTTTTTCAAATTGGCTTTTTGACTTGGTCGTGCTTTGTTGTGTCCGGCAAACATTGTCTGAAAGGTATCCACATAGCAACGTTTACATGCAAGCCGGTCGTTTTACACTTTTGATTTGCCTTTAACGAGAATACCGAAGGTTAACGGGTGACAAGCACAAAAAAAAAAATAGTTTTAACTAGAAGAAACGACCGTGGAAAATATGTTAGACACACGGCAGTGTAATCCCTACACTCGAATAAATTCATATAACTATCTATGTGTGGAAAATAAAATTGTGGAATATTATTTATTAGAACAATCCGTTGTTGTGTACAATAATTATTGATAATGATAATTATTACACATACTGTTGTTTCGTTGGAAACCGTTTAGGTGAGATTAAATTGGGTTACTTGGGCACTTGGCCCGGTATCAGCGGCACTTGACGTTCGGTTAAGTGGCGAACACATTTTTCCTAGTAAATTCGGTCAACGAGTCGACTGATAAAAAAACCGAGAACCGTTTTTTCAATAGGTAATCCGAATATTGGGCGAAAAACAGCCACCATAAAAAAAGCTGTTGACAAGCGAAAATATTTCACAAAAACAATGCTTACTATGTTCGACGACGTCGTCGCGTAAACAAGTTGCACAATATTGTGTTTGTTATTTGCCTAAACGTTACCCCTTAAAAACGTTGAGATACCAAACGGAGAGCAGAGTTTGTTGTGAACAGAAAGAAAAAACAAAAACGCTACACGCTAATAACGAGAAGAAGGATATTATTGTCGTAGCTTTATCTGATACAGTTTATTCAGTAAAGAGCTTTTGTGTATCATAAAAAACACATTTTTCCTCTTAAATGTTCATACTGTTTTAATTAATTACCAAATAATAAGGTATATATTTTAACTAATTGCTCAAAAATTACAAATCTAGGAAGTCTGCATAGTCGACCCCGTCTTGGCTAGCGTTTTTTTTTAAACTAGACTATTTTTATAAAATTTCAAATTAAAAAATGGGGTGTTCGATAATATGATGGTTTACAGCAGGTACACTACACGTGAGTGTATATTTTTAGGTTTTTTATTTGTGTTTACATATATTTTTTTAAACCGGTCGAGTTCGGACCTACGGGGTCTGTTGTGTGGCTGACGTAACACATGCACACTGCCCGAGAAAAGTCTCATATTGTTACATAATAATGCGGTAATTATCGGTCCGGTCTGAAGGAGACCATTTGGAAGGAAGGAAGGAAGGAAGGCTGTGTGTGTGTGTTGTTTATTCGGCTAGGAACTTGCTATAAGGTGGAATAGAATATGCGCACACACACAAGACATTTACTCCGGTAGTTTTTTGACTTTGGAAACGTCTGTTTTGGTATTCACCGACCGACCTTGACGGGGAACGGCCGTCCTCTCGAAGCGATTATTAACATGAATAATATAATAATATGACTAATATCCGAGCTGTAACAATATTAACATGTATCCGACTATGTGTTATCACGTGGACCTCTAACCGCGGCACACACGTCATGGCTTTTCTTCGATTTGACATATTTTATCAGCAGTCGAATTCGGAAAAGCACTCGAATCAAGCGCACTCCAATCCAATAATAGTATTAAATAGTATTTTACCTGAGATAGCCGTTTTTAATCGCTCCGTCAGTCGTTTGTCCGGAACGCCGCTGACATAATTCGATACGTTTTAATTTTTAAGTAAAAACCCTCTAAAAACAGTTCATCGTCGACGCTCACACAACAGGTAGACCGCAACAGTTATAATATATTGCTTAGCGGCATCGTTTAATAATATTTTACTATATTTAATTGTGTAATTATTATATTGTATATTATTATGTATTCCTTGTATTCACGACCAAATTCGCCTAGGTCAGGTCAGCGAAAAAAACATAAACCTTGTGTCGCAGACAAGGTTTATAAGGACAAAAAAAAAACCCGTATTTCGGAACGATGATCTAGCTATTTCATTGAATTTTGAGATATTAAACAAATTTTATTCAGTTTACTCTATACCTACTTTACATTTATACCATTATTATTATTATTACTATTACAACACACATACACACACACAGCTACTTCCATAGTAATTTATGATAAACACCAACTACGGAGATCCCCGTAGATCGTTGAACGGTCGAAAGCAACGTCCCCGAGTCGTATTATGTAAACCTACAACTGTGTGTTGTTATTTAACCGACAAACGGGTTCCACTTTTGTATAATATACCTATTATAATATCAGTTCCTAACGACCGCCGTTTTTGTGTTTTTCAGATTAACCTTTGAGTGATGTGGAAAGACTTGAAGAAGCTAAAACTTCTACTATGGAAGAACCTTTTGATCCAGCGGAGACACCCCATCCAATCGACCATCGAAGTGCTTTTGCCGGCCATCATGGCGTGCATACTTGTCATGATCAGGTCGTGGGTGCAGCCAGTGGAATTCGACCACATTACCAAATACCCTTCGTTTCCGATAACCGTGCCGCCAATGATTGTAGGATACACGCCGGGGTGAGTTTATCGGTCGAGTATAAAGTAAAAAACACATTTTGGTTCAAAAAAGCCCAAAGTCGAGTGTCGACCTTCTTGTGGGGAGTAATAGCGTATACCGTTTTTGGCAATAGCCAAAGGACATTTGGCCGGAACGACTTATTAGCATAATATTATTATCAGTTCTGAGCGACGAATACGTTTAATATATGATATATTATTATAATAATAAAATAATATAGAAAAAGAAACCCGCAATTTGTACCTTGAACGAACGAGACAAGGTAATAGTTTGCGGCTAAAACACGGTTTTTATTTATAGTGTATGTAAAAATGATTTCAGATGGACCTTAGCGTGGAGTCCGTATCACCCGAAGTTAGATGAAATAATGAAAACTGCGTTTGCTCGACACCGAATTTGTTTCGTAAGTTCAATGTGTACATTACAAAAATATGCAACAACCTATAAATAATATTGTTTGACTATTGTGTGCGTTAACAGTTAAAAGTTTCAAACACGTTAACTTAATGGAAAAAGATTTGAACAAAGACGAGGCGATGAAGAATTACCTGGCCGGAGTCCGGTTCGATAACGTTTGGCCTAACGCTACCGAGTTGCCGAAAAAAATATCCGTAAGACAATTATTATTATTATTGAACATTTAACTGTAAGTATATAACCTCAGATACTAAACGCTGTTTGTTGTGTAAAGATGAAAATCAGGTTTCCCTGTCACTTGAGAGTAACGAAAAAGAGCATGATGAGCTTCGACACGATCGAAGCCAACTGGAGGACTTATTTGATATTTCCTCTGTACCAAACGTTCGGTCCGAGACACAAAGAAGAATTGAACGGCGGCGAACCGGGTAAGTTAAAAATATTATGATATATTTTGGTTCGTATTAGTTTTATTTTTATTTATTTTTTCTCCACTTCGATTCCAGGTTACACGTCCGAGTCGTTTTTGTACTTGCAAAGTCAGATCTCCCGGACGATCGTCAACTACTGGGCCCCGAATCGGACGATTCCCGAAATCGAGATGCAAAGGTTCCCGTACCCGAAGTACATCGAAGACCCTCTCCTTCCGGCTCTTACCTCGTTCGTTTCCACAGTGGTACTGCTCAGCTACGTGTACACGGCCATCAACACCATCAAAGTGATAGCGGCGGAAAAAGAATCCAAGATGAAGGTCAGTGTATATTATTATTTGGCAAAAAATCTACGAATAATAACAACTACAACAACAATAATAATAATGTTCATTGTCCGATTGCTGCGTTGTATATAGGAAGCAATGATGCTGATGGGATTGGATAATTGGCTGCACGCAATGGCTTGGTATTTGAAGAGTTTCGTCGTTTGGATTATACCTCTTCTCATACTGGTGTTCTTTATCACGTTCGAATGGCCTACGGGTGCGGTATTCCAGTATTCGGATCCGGTGGTGCTCATGGCCATCATGACGCTTTACGTTACCTCCGGTATATCGTATTGTTTCTTGATAGCCACGCTTTTCAAAAAAGGTCAGTGTAATTATAGGTTGCGAAAAAAACAAAAACAATAACCTATCTTTGTTTTTTTCCTTTCATTAACATATTATTATCGTCAAAGCGCACTGCGCAGACGAGCATCTTTTAAACAATAAAAAAAAAAAATAGAACCTACGATTTAAGATGATATTACGGTCGCCCAATCGCTTGTGATTAAGTGATAAAGTTGATCTTAAATCGTGTTCTCGATTGAGTTGTTTATTCTACTACTATTGTTGTTGTTTTGTGTTTAGCCAACACCGCGGCCACTGTCGGAGGAGTCCTGTGGTTCGGCACGTACGCACCGTTCATGATCTTCCAACCGAAATATTCGTCGATGACCAACAGGGAAATTTTGACCTCCACCCTGTTGCCGAACACCGCGCTGGGTTACATATTCCAGAGTCTGATCATGTTCGAAGGGATCGGCAAAGGACTGACCTGGAACAACATCACGGTGACCGTGTCGCCCGACGACAAAATGTGCATAGCCGACATCATGTACATGCTGGCTTTCGACTCGGTACTGTATCTGGTCATAGCCGTGTACCTGGAAACGGCTTTCCCGAAAAACTGCGGGTTCCGCCCACCGTGGTATTTCCCGATAATGGTAAGAACGAACAATTATTGATATTTTTTTTGAAAGTTTTTTCGCAATATCGCATGAAAAAGCTAAACGAGACCAAACAACTCGGTTGTTGCAGTCGTCGTTTTGGTTCGGACAAAAGGAAACGATGAGCAAAGAAATCACCGAAAAGTCCGGCATACAAATCCAATCGCTGACCAAGTATTTTTTCTACGACAAACCCGTGGTCAACAACCTGACGGTGGACATGTACCCGAATCAGATTACCGTGCTGTTGGGACACAACGGCGCCGGCAAGTCGACGACCATGTCCATGTTGAGCGGTTTGATAAGGCCGTCCTCGGGTTCGGCATTAATCGAAGGATACGATATCAACACACAGATGAAGACCATACGCAACTCGTTGGGACTCTGCCCGCAGTACAATATACTCATTCCTGACTTGACCGTCAAGGAACATTTGAAATTCTTCGGAGTGGTGAGTACGAGGATATTTTTATTTTATGTACATTGATATACTTACAACGATAATTACAGTTGAAAGGCTTGAGTAACGGAGCGCTAAGCGATGAGATTGAAAAGTATGTAGTGAAATTCGAATTGGAATCCATGCTAAACACAAAATCCAAGCACCTCAGCGGGGGAATGAAAAGAAAACTATCCGTGGCCATCGCTCTGATCGGCAAGTCCAAAGTAAGTTTGTTGGGGTTTGCGAGAGAGTTTTTCTTCTCCTAAGTTTAGCCTTGACGCGTAATATTTATACTCGGAGGGTAGGTGGTATTGATGGACGAACCGACTTCGGGCATGGACCCTGCAGCAAGACGAACTTTGTGGAACATTTTACAATCGGAACGCGAAGGTAGGACGATGGTAATGACCACTCACTTGATGGATGAAGCCGACTTGTTGGGCGACCGAGTGGCCATAATGAAAGCCGGCACGCTTTGTTGCGTTGGAACGCCGTTCTCGTTGAAAAAAGAATACGGTAAGACGATAGGATTGACTTAGGGTTTTATTTCGTTTAGAATTGATAAGAGTTATTAATTTTTAGGTGGCGGTTACACGTTAACGTTGGTAAAAGATACGTTAAAATTTAACGTATCCAAATCGACCAATTTCATTCGAAAATACTACCCGCATTCCGTGCCCAGCAATATAACAATAATGGAGGTCACGTACAAGCTGGACGATTCGTCTTTGTTTCCGGAACTTTTAAACTCTCTGGAACAAAACAAGGCGTCTTTGGGAATCAAGGAATACGGTATCTCGTTGACTACGTTACAGGATGTTTTCATGAAGTAAGTACAACATCTACTTGTATTTATAACGGCTGAACGCAATGTCTACGTTTTTTACTAAAATGCCATATTCCATTTGTACAGGGTCGGACAAGACGATAACAAAAAGCTGGCGGATTATCAGATAAATTCGTTGAAGCAGAAATCCATTGATTCGAAAAGTCGGTTCGAAAGTTTTTTCTTTGATTCGGGAAGTGACGTTTCGGACATGAAATCAGAAAGTGAGTAAACCCTCCATAACTGGTATTGCATAGCTGTTGTTTTGAATATTATGGCATGAAGACATTGGGTTTTTTTTTAGGAGCCACCGGGTGGAAGTTGTTTATCATACAAATTGGAGCGATCATGGAGAAGAAATGTTTGCAGTCCTATCGTTCTTTGGTTTTGCATACGCTTCAAATAGCTTTGACTATATTTTTCATATGTCTCGCGTTATTGGTCGTCAACTCCTGGCAAGGCATGAAAGATCTTCCGGCGATGGTCATGGATTTTAAGGTAAGAATCGAAACCGTCGTCTCTATCTAGTTTACTTAACTGATTGTTAACCCATGATTTCTGTCGTAGACATATTGGGACCCAATCAGTACCGTCATGTTAGCTAGCCACAACGAGCTGGCCGTGAGCGTTTATGAATCGTACAAGAACGCTTGTGCGCCCAACCCCGTTCTCGATTTGAACTTCCACAAAAACTACGATTTCTTCGAGAACTTCTTGCTGAAAGTGGTAAGTGATCGGTTGAATTTTCTTTGTGTACGATTTTTTTATTTTTAAACTACTTACTAATCGGTATTCCTCGCAGGCTTCGAAAAACATAGCGCCGTTCACGCAAAAGTACATCATCGGAGCCGTTTTCGACGACAACAAAATCACAGCGCACTTCAACAACCAACCTTACCACGGACCTCCGTTGTCGCTGAACATGGTCTACAACGCCTTACTCAGATCTTTCATGGGCGAAAGTTACGGAATAGAAGTCATCAATCATCCTCTACCGTACCAGGGGGTAGACAAGGTCCGTACACGACATCATCTAAACAAAGGAGAAACTACTTTCTTACAATATTAAAAAACAATTTTTCTTTTGTTTTGTTCAGCTGTTGAAATTGTCCGGTGGCAGCAATCTGGGTTACCAAGTGGCGTTCAACTGTGGCATTTCACAGGCATTTGTGTGCGCCGTTTACGCGCTATTTGCAGTCAAGGAACGGCAAACCGGTGCCAAACACATGCAACAAATCGCCGGGATCAAACCGTTGGCCTATTGGGGAGCGTCTTTGCTGTGGGACTGGATCAGCTACTTGACGATCATATTCTCGATCATTTCACTTCTTTTCTTCTACGGCGATCCGGGCTATTCCAGCTCGAAACAAATGGGTATGTAAATGGGATGCCAAAGACCATCTCTACGATAATCTCTAGTCGATGAGTCAATATATTTAACTCGGTTTCAGGATTATTGTTAACTCTGTTGGTGGCTTTTTCGTGGGCGACGTTGCCGCTAATGGGTTTGTTTTCGTATATGTTCACCAACCCGTCGACGAGTTTCATTCGAATGTCCGTGTTCAGCGTCATCACCGGCGCCATGGTGTTCATGTTAGTTCTCATATTGGACATGCAACCCTTGTGTCTGAAGGACCATTCCCAAGCCATCGATTCCGTGATGATTTACTTTCCGCATTACGCTCTGAGCAGCGGTCTGAAAAATATTTACTCGGCGTACGAGTACAACGAGATCTGCGACTTCCGCAAAAATGGTAAAAAGCGTTTTTTTTTTTACATGACGAACGCATCGGATATTATTATATAGTTTACAATTTTTTTGTCTCTACAGCTTCCTGTTTCGGATGGGACGGTGACAATTTATCGTGGACCAGCCCGGGCATCGGTAGGAACATCATACATCTGTTTTGGTTGGGATTCGTGTGCGTTTCGCTGCTGCTGTCATGCGAGTACTTGACGTACTACGGTAACAAAATCCACTGCACTCTGCTGAAACTCTACAGTTACATTTGGAAAAAAGCGCTCAAGGAAGAGAAATTCGACTTGAACTACTACGAGTCGGACGTGGCTCACGAGAAGCAAGTGGTCAGCAATGCTGACCCCAGGAGTTTCTGTCTGTATCTCAAGTAATGATTGCCATCTTTATACGAGCTACGTTTGTTCGTCGTAACACGTGTCTTCTAACGATCCAATTATATCGCTTTGCAGAAACGTCTGGAAAAATTACGGTAGCAAGCAAGCGGTGAAAGGAATAAATTTGGCGCTTAAACCGAACGAATGCTTTGGCTTGCTGGGAGCGAACGGAGCCGGAAAAACGACCACTTTCCGAATGCTGACCGGAGACATCAAAAACACGTCGGGAGACATTTACGTGTGCGGAGTACACGTCAACAACAACAGAGAAAAAGTATATGCACCGTAATCTTACGGCGAAATCTTAAGGCATCACAGCTCATACTTGTAAATCTGTTATTCCATGTAGATCCACGAGGTAGGAGGCTACTGTCCTCAGTTCAACGGTCTCATCGAAGAGCTGACGGGCTTCGAAACGCTCCATTTCTTCTGCAGACTCAGAGGAATGTCCAACAAAGAAGCGACCACGCTACCGTTTTACCTAGCTTCCCGATTGGCGTTCATGCCCTATTTGAACGTACAAGCTAAAAACTATAGGTAAGTAGAGTAACCTAACAGCTACCGGAATTCATTTGTCACCGGTTGTCTTAACCTAATTTCCCCCTCGACCTAGTGGCGGCAACAAGAGAAAACTCAGCACGGCCATCGCTATGATCGGAGACCCTTCGGTGCTGTTCTTGGACGAACCCACATCTGGTTTGGATCCCGCTGCCCGGAAACACTTGTGGGACACCGTAAGCGAAGAAAGAGATCGCGGAAAATGTGTTTTCATCACTTCGCACAGGTATATCAGTTATAGTCAGCGAGAGACAACAATATAAATACAGAATAAAACTAAAACAACTCTAATCCCTGTTGTGTAGTCTCGAAGAATGCGAAGCCCTGTGCACGCGTTTAGCCGTAATGGTGGACGGCCGAATTTGTTGTATAGGATCTGTGCAGCATCTTAAAAATAAATTCTCAATCGGTTACCAACTGCACATAAAATTCCATCCAGACAATCACACCAAAGCCAAAGAATTTGTAATATCATCGTTCTCGGGTAATTATTGCAAAAAGGAAAAATGTACAAAACACTACCCTTTTGATAGTAACGTTTACTAAAATCAATGGTGTTTTTTACCTCTAGGCGCAACATTACGTGAAGAATTTGAAATAACAGCGTTGTTCCACATTCCCAAAAAATATCCGTGTTCGTATGCGTTTGGTCAGATGGAACAAGCTAAAAAAGAACTATTGATTGACGACTATTCCATACAACAAACCAGTTTAGAACAGGTAAGGCCAACCCGAACGACTTCAACTCACTTTTTTCGGTGTCGGTCATCTAATTTGTACATTATTTTCTACGTACATTTTCAAATTTTATTCCGACTAACTAATGAACAACCCAATAATAATATTATCAATAATATTATTTTCGATTTGTTTTTCAGGTATTTTTAAATTTTACCAGAAATCGAAACCAAATAGCGTAGCAAAATGGAATGTTCAACAAATTTTGATATCCTAATATTTTCGTCGTTTAAATATGAACCGTAAGTGCCATGTCAATTTTTTGAACGTTATCTTCACTTTGGAAACGTTCACAACATTATAATAATGTTGTTTTTTTATTTTTTTCTTGTACGAAGGCTGACTAATGTAAATTATTATTAAAAAAATAATAGTTTTGTAATATAAAATACTATATGTGATAATTTATAATAAAATGTGTAAGATGTAAGTAATTTACTTTGTCTTTATGCCGAATAATTATATGTATTAAACAAATGGAACCAAAGCTTATTTAAGGCTTTAGGTCTTTGTAAAACTGTTTTTATTATTATTATTATTGTTTACAAGCATATTGTATGCGTTGTAATTTTGATTCGAAGCGCTCAATGTACAGGTTATATATATTTTATGATACATAATATATATATATATATTATTTTCTATTCTCACTTAGTGATTTGAAATCCTGTGTTTACTTTAGTTACTATACTCTATATTTAATCTATGTAATTACCATTTATAGAGTAGGACCTATTTAATTTATTAAGATTTATTTTTGTTCAATACGTTTAAGACAAAAAATATACCAAAATGTACAGTAACGGCATTTTAGTTGATTTTGTATTCTATTTCCGGTCAAATCCTTTCAGGCGGTGCCAATTTGCGGATTGACAATTTTGGTAAGTTTAGATACATGTATTTATAAAAACAGCATGGCCCCTGCTTGACGGTGGGTGCCTATACCTAATGGTATTACAATAAGCACAATATCAAGTTTACAATGTATCGAATAGCTTTGTTTATTTACACAAAATTCGCATAAGTTTACATTATTATTATCGTTATTTCTATTCACCACATGACGCACTTATTGCTTGGATTCATTGGACTGTTGGCCGGACACTTCCAGACGTTTGCAAAGTCATAATTGTTTTTCAACGAACCGATTACTCGTATGTTGTTTGGACTGTGATCGTCGTTCGCTTGCAACTCGCTGAACTTGGCGTTGGTCTTGTGACACCAAACCTAAACGTTTGGAAAACATTCTCATGTCTAAATTCCATTTCCACCAACTTGGTTTTATTTCATACTTACATTGGCGTACGCCAAAAAGAACAGTTGGTCGTTGGTGAACCCTTTGAGTCCGGGCAGTCGCTCTTGGTGTTCCGACTGGTATATTTTATACGCCAACCACGCCTGTTTAAGTCCGATATTGTCGGCCATGTTTTCGGCCAACGTTTGTGTGCCGTTTAGCTGAATATCGAAATAACAGCACAATTAAAATCATTGAAACTTTATAGATAAAGGAATAGGAGACTCGTAATTAAGAAATGATTGGAATAATAAAGAAATAAAATAATAAAAATATTTCAATAAACCCTTAACTATGAAAATAATACTCAAATATGATCTACTATCATATCAACACACACAACAGACTTAGCAGACGTGGTTGAGGTTTTATTTAAATATTTCATTACTTTATTTCTTTACTAGTTTTTTCTAGATCTGGCTATCTAGACTAGGCTCCGATTGCTTTTGTCCTCACCCGAATGTTTTTAGTCAACGAAAACTGATCATATTCTTTGATGAAACACTGAGCTCGTTTCACATATTCCCGAATCGTCTGCTGTCCCCACCACATGGTCTTCTTGCCGTTAACGTCGTAGTTTTTCCCTGAAAACGAAATCAGGTCCAGCACGTTTAATCTAAACATGGATATGTTATTGGGACATTCAATTAGATTAGATTGGACTATATCAGACATAAGAAATAAGATAAAGAGTACCAGGTTTGTTCTTCGCAGCCCCACCTACCTTCTATATCGAATCCGTGTGTCATTTCGTGTCCCAAAATCGATCCTATGGCTCCGTAATTGATAACACTAATACATTGAAACAGGACAAACGGTTACCAGTGTTAAGATAAATGATCTCGAGTTCAACATATTTGGACGGGAAAACTCACTCGACTCCTTTGTAGAAAAACGGCATTTGTAAGATTCCCGCCGGAATGGCTGCGTGCAATTATAATACCGTACATAGTTAAACGTCATACCCAACGACAGACGGGTACGTTATAAAAAAAAAAAACGTTATATAAAATGTTATAAGAATATTGTAGTCTTACTGATTGAGTTGTGCGTTCTACTGTAGAACGCGTTGACTTCCAACGGATCCGTCAGAGTGCTGTTTGCATGGAACGCGACAAAAGCAGACACGTCAAATTCATATTTTCAAAGATGCAGACGTACATTAGATCTAGATACATATTTTTGTATATTCTAGTAAAACGTACGATTGTGGTGTATTTTTAGCAATGGGATTTCCGATTTCTTCGATCACCCTGGCCACTTCGAACGCTTTGATGTCCAACATGCTCTGAAGGAACTGGTCTTCATTGATGTCTACCTGGGAACGTTTAGACAAATTAAGTAGGTATTGTTCAAGCACGTTAGCTAGTGGTGTTCGTTTTGATGAAAATAACTGATTGGACGACAATTTGTCTACAGCGTGGACTACTTAAAACCGACAATAATGTGCCACCGATAGCAAGTGACAAGGCCGGTATGACCGAGAGAGTGATTGATTTCTCACGTGTTGGAAAAGTTTCTCGAGCTCCGAAGGGGAATCGAATATCTTCGGGTATCCTATTTCCGCTTGGATGGCATCGACCTTTTGAGAAGTCACCAGTTTGGTCGTTCTGTCCGTCCATGGGGATGCCATGATCATAGTCTTGAACGCTTTTTGCAGTTGACCGAGCATTTCGCGAACCTATCGTTAAAAAGAGAAAAAAACAAATCGGTTGGATAGTCTAGATGTGTTTCGGCTCTATGATCGACTAGCCTTCATCGAGGTGTCGTGCAGACCGTCTCGTCGATAAAAGGCATAAGCTATTGGCATGTTGAGGAACGTTTTGGTGATTTCCGTGCATACGGACGACCTTGGAGGAGGGGAACATGAACAGTTACAAACATTAAGACATAAATCATACCCGGTATAACCGTTCAATCACCTGGTGGGTTTTTTGTCTGTTTGGTATATCGATTCGATAAACGATGATTTTAGTTTTCTCATTTTAGTCGTCGTATGAGGTATAAGTATTTCGACGATTTTCCACCAAACAAGTTGTTCTGGAAAACGACAACAGACAAATACAAAATGTAGAATCTAAACATTTTTTCTAGCCGCCATTAGTTCGATTAGCTTGCACATGCGTACCTAACGACATTGTACTTAGCCTAGACTAATATTAGCAAAACCAATCGGGTTTAATATGTTATAATGATGTATTTTATTTCTATTAAGTAAACAGAAAATTTGTCATTCATGGTTTATACTATAGTCTAGTTATGACTTTACTAATATGTTTGTCTATCTTCATTACTAGTATAGAACTAGTATACACTAGTATAGAACTAACACGGCTTATGTGCCTCAATTACACATGTCCTTTGTTAGGTTAGGATAATTATTTAAAGTCTGAGCATTTGTTCAATTGAACAATTTAAGAGGCACCCTATAGGGTTTCACTTAGTCCTACGTCTTGGCTATATTTTTCATTTAGTCTCCATTCTCCGTTACCTGTTGTCTCTCTGCTTTATTTACATTAGCTACTAAGCTAAGGGTTGTTAAATTTACTACGACTGCAATATAATACATCAAATTATTTGATAACTAATCATTTTTTTTTCTCAGTTACCTATTCTAAAAACAAAAACAAATGTGTGTTACTCACGAAATTCTTCTATAGACGTGCTTGTCATTTGAGACTGAAGACCTAAAAAGTACTCCGGATCTCGAACGTACACCACGTCGTCCATTGTTAGCGTTTTGTTTGTACCTTCGGTCAACGCTTGAATATACGAAGACCAATCGAACTTTTTATTGTGAAAACGGAACATTTCAGTCATTAAATCGGCTAACAATGTGTAAACAAATTTATTTGTAAGACTACAATACCGTGTTTTCATCTAAAACGTCCGAAGAATTTGATGTCATGAATGAGCTTAGATCTGAAAATGTAAACTTAGTTGGTGCGCCCTGGTCAGTGTGCTCTCGCTGCAATATTATTCGAACCAATTAATTTGTTGCCATAATAAGCCATGCACAATTATTTTGATTGATTGCACAACAGTGTAAGGTTTTACCGCCTCAATTTCTCTGTCTATTCTATCTATATTCCATTCCTCTTCTTCTTCGGTTTACGTCCACCTCTAAATCTCTTCATAACCCATTTTACCATTTAGTTTCTCTACTGGTCTTCGACTTGTTCAAACCATCACTCATTTGTCCTGCTATTGCTGTAACACGCCTCTTTGAACACCTTCCTGAATTTTTCAAACTATTACTCACGATATACGCCTATCAATACTTTGATTTAAGTTCCTTTCCTTTAATCTACTGATTCCTCGACTAGCAAGTCTCCCGTAGCAAGTTCTCTATTTCCATCTCTAAACTACCGTTTCTCTTTCCAACCAAATGGCTGTTTTTCATCGCTCCTCCGATACTCTAACCCATGGACGCATAATGATCTGTTAGATATTTATTACCCACTGCCTATAAAACTAACTTTCAATTTCGATTCCAAAATGAGAATTTTCAGAGCTATTACGGCCATCGAAGTGACGTTGTTGTTATCGTCTTGGGTTAGTTCGGCTATAACGGATATCATGTAGCGGACCTTAAGCAAAAGGACCGCACGAGCTGTTGTCTGATCCGCTGTGGCCATGGCGAGCCGTCGTTGTTCACCGTAGTCCACCAGTACGTCGGGCAACGGAGCACTGGTGCCGGTGGCAGGTGCAAACTGTTTGGAATGAGAAAAAAAAAATGTAAGTTAGTAAAGTGGAATCAGGACACGGTGGGGACGTAGCGGATCTACAAGAGGTATAATAAGTGTAAATGATAAAAGCACATTACGTATAGGGCGGATATCTTGTCGAAAGGATCCGGTTCTAAGGACAACTGCACTAGGATATCGGCGCTGAGGTATCGCTGGGCCAGAGCCAAAGTCCTAGCCATGTTGAATGTAGTTCCGTTCGCGTAGGTAGCGGTGGTAAAGTCCGGAAACGTCCTGGGTAGTCCCAATTTTTCCAGTATCTTATACACCGGCTCGTACCCGACCTCGTCTAGTAAATCTGTAGGCAACAAGTAAGAAGTTCATATCGTACAATTTTTGAATTAGTCATTCGAGACACAACATAAGTCACGATTTTCTCCAAATGAGGTCATGGCGGGTTTTGATCATCTGAATGGGTGACGCGAGCCACAAACCTTCTTCCCTATAAACTACAATGATTAAAATATCGTTGAAAGCTCATAGTTGCAGATCACCCACAATTTTTTTACTTATTTCCCGAACTTTTTGTGTTAATGACTTATGTCCATTCTCGAATGACTAGCTTTAACGCGATCCAATCGTTTCATTTTATATACAGCACACATTTAATTATTACCTGTATTGAGACAAGTTCTGTACAGAAGTCTGGCTTGTTTAAGGGATCTTAAATCGTTTTTATGATCCCATTCCTCCAAAATTCCTGTTAAGAAAATGTTTTTTTTTAAATGTATTATATATTTTACCTAAACCAAAATAAGGAAACCGTTCTGACCACGTACACGTGGTGTCAAAATAGTGACGTTGCTAAACATATTGTCCATATAATTAATGCAAAATTCAATTGACACTCGTCAATTTTTTTCAATTTATTACTGAAGGCAATCGCGAATCGTTTGTAGCAAGTGTACAGCATAATATTATGTCGCTGGAAATTTCTTTTCGACGTTCTTTAACCGTGCACAGGACACAAAAGTTGGCGAACGATTTTGCTATGAAAAAATTATATTTTCTAAAACGTCAAAAACCAATTATTTTGCTTTGACATCGTTAGGAGGTCAATAACGCCGTGTTATTACACCGTTCCAATGCCATGACCGTGGTACTATTATTACTCCCCTCCTCCCACCCGGCAACTAAATGTGATTTAAGTGCTATTATTTCTCTTTAGTTTTCTACCTTATATATGTATTTTATCAGTTCGCCTTACTTGTAATTACCATTGAAATGTACCGAGTCCTTTCGATAAACCACGAGTTGACTTGTCCAGATCCGGGCAGATAACGGTCTTGCCAGTTGCCACACGCGAATTCGTAAAAATCGTCGCAAGGGTCAACAGCCGCGTTCATCGATTGCATAATGGTCGTGGCTGTATACCGTGGAGTGACAGTGAAAACAAAAAAATATATACAAATTATTAATATTGGCCCGACCGCGTCACAAAATAAGTTCAAAGCGTTTATACTAATACTGCCTGTCGGTCATAACCTGATATCAAACACTCGTCACTCTGACACGTTGTCCAGTTAGAGTTCATACCTGTCAAAAACGGTATCGCCATTATTATTCACACGATCAATGGTAAACACTAACGTCAAGCAAAAGTAGAATTTCTTGTTTTAATCGACGGTAGCAATATTATGTTAGTGTAGATGTATTTACCGTTCCAAAGTACCGCAGTGATGAGTAAAAAACATAAAAATGATAGTAGCCCAAGACCGAGGATGATTTTCTTTTCAAACTTGTTATTGCCCAACAATACTTGTTGTAGTTTCCTGAAAAGCATACAAACAACCGGATCAGAGCCAACCGGTTGGAAAGAGGAAGGATAGATTAGGAATGGGAATAGAGAAAGTTCTGTGAGAGGAATCAAAATGTTGGGTCGAGCGATTTAAGTAGCGAAATGGCAGCAGTTGCTGGGAATGGGGAATTTCTATAAAATAGCAGCAATACCATCAATGATGGTAAACACTTTTTTGAATAACAAATTAAAGCAAAGAATCTGAAAAGAGAAATTAAATGGTAAAATGGGTTAGAGAGATTTAGAGGTGGAAGTAAACCAATGAAGAGAGTGAACATAAAAGTGTGTTTAACAGAGAGAAATAGTGAAGAATAAGCCTTACTCGGTTTTTTTAATTTTTTAAGTGTTTGTTAATTATAACACTAATTTTTTAGGGATTTTCTAAAGTTCCTTTTTTACAGTTTTTTTTTATTAACATTTTTACTTTAATAATTGTACGATTTTATAAAATTACTAAATATTTACCTTTTTTAAGTATCTTTTGAAACTTAAACGGGAACGCATATATTTATTTGACTTAAAAAAAAAAGAATCATATGCTGAAAATTTTGACTTGTCAATAACTATTTTTAAATAATGATTTTTAATATAATTCAAGTTTAAAATTTATGACTGGAGATGGAGTGCGGTTGAGTAATGCGTGCAGATAAGAATAATACTACAATCATCCAATCCTGCCATCCTTATATTTTAAACTTAGAAAATAATTATTCAAAACTAGTCGTTAAAATTCCTAATTTAAAAAACCAATGAAATGTATTCAATAGTCGACAGATCTCTAGAATTTACCGAAAATTATAAACATTGGAATAATGTAAACTAACATAAGCTAAAACTCAACACTAAACGTTCTCCGACCACACTAACCTGTACTTCATGGAAGCCACAGAGACGTAGCCGTCTTGTTGCTGCTGTTGATGGTTGTAAGTCGAACCGGGCGGTGCCATACGAGACTCTTTGGCGGCAAACAGGAGATCTTCGACCGTTTGCACAGCAGCCGAACGAAGACGTTTGGTCTGATGGCCAGCAGCAGCTCCTTCGTTTTCCCCTTGGCCGTATCCGCTGCTGTCATGATAACGACAAACACTATAATCGTTGGAGGCTAAAATCGTCACCGCGCTATGCCGCGATTCGGTGTCGAGCGACATGTCCAATCATCCGACACGAATAGCATACAGCACAAAATACAACACATTGCATAACGCTTTCATGTTCATATACACTTGTAAAACTACTACAGAAAAAAAAACGCCCTCTGTGCGCTGTGTGGTGACGTTCGTGTGAATCAATCGGTCAACCCCGCATAGGTAATTACCAAAAAAAAAACACACCGATTACGACCCTCGGTCAAAGATAATAATCACTATTTGCAGCAGACGAATGTAAAAAAAAACCGACCTAATATTTTCAATTTTCTGCAAATTTTATCCAACACCAGTAATTTTATATATTGCATACGGTTATAATCGGATTAAAACAAATATATACCCCTATTGTAAAATTATTGTTAGTTTTGGAATAAACCCGTTTAGGACCTTCCTTTCATCCTTAAATTTAAAATAAAATTACCCTAAAAAGAATGATTTAAACCTTGTTATGGGCCGGTTAAAACTTTAAGTAAATTATTCTTATTTTACAAAAAAAAAACAATTTTAAATGTATATGTTACCATTTAAAAATCTTAAGTTTACAAGGTCTTAACTCATAAGGGATGATGTTATATTGTTGAATACTATATCAAATTTGTATTAGCTAATGTAATAATCTAATATATTATTGTATTAATCATGTGTGTTTAATAGACCATAATCAAAAGCTAGAGTTGAGACTAGATCAAAAACAAACGATTGAATGATTTGAAAACAAAAACATTATCATTTAAAAATGTATTTACCTGTAAATGTTCTTCCCGTAATGATGTTATTTTAATTGACTGATGTGACTTGATTGGTTTAAGCCAAATTAATAGAAATGTCTATTTAAAAATACATTTTTCCCGTTACAATTATTTTCACCCCTTTCCTATCTATCGTTTTCCGTTCTCTTACAATGAATCGAACGGTTATGACATATTTAGTGAGTATCCTTGAAATCAAATATAACTTTTTTCGAAGAATAACGATGACTATTAATACCAACTTTGTGTATCGCAGTAACGACCTAAATTTTGTTTTATACTAAGTATTTTATCAATGTATTATTTTTATACCAAATTCATATTATTTAAGCGTTTGTTAAGCTTGTAATTTAAAAGAATAACGTTGTTATAAATAACTAAAACTACAATTAGTATTACCATTAATAAAATGTTGAATTATTAATTGTCTGGACTTAGAACTCTCTAAAACTATCTATGATTTATGAATTTAGACAATCAAACTAAGCGTGCAATTGGTAAGCTATCGTTTGTACAACGGTGAAAGTTAATTCCTTTTTTTTTTAATATAACGTTACATTTCTATCAAATATACAATTACTGTAATGGAACGTCGTTGAAACCAGTTAGCAACTTCAAAACTTATAAAACATTTTTTTTTAATTTAAAAAAAGATTTTGAAAGCTGATACTTTTACTTTCGAAATTATTTACTAGACATTTGATCTTGTTTTTTTTTAGAATAAACGTCTCTATACATTGGATACAACGGTTTAAAGATACACTTTAATACATTTTTAGTCATAGTTTTTATAGTCGACTGTAACAAAACTGACTAACTTCATTGTCATTGTAACCAATTAAAAAACCACAAATGTATATACATATTTTAAAGATGCAATTAATGTCATAAAAGTAATAATTTCAAACGTCCCAAAATAACCAATTACTTTTTGTAGCTATTGTTTACACGTTGACTTAACTTTGTCAAACAGTTAGAACTTGTTTCATTGATTCAGTAAGCCTGAACCGGAGGCCAAAGTCGATTGTGTAGTGTTTGGAAAATATTTACCTACCCCGCACGACCAAGTATGTTCAATATATGTATAGGTAGAACAAAAGTATGCACAAAAAGTTAAACGCAGTGAGCCACTGCTGTGAAGTAATTTTCACAAAACCAGTAAAAATGAAAGAAGTGTCGTATTAAAAATATTTTAATATGATATTCAACATGACTATTATGGTATTTTTTTCATTAGGTAAATGGGTAGGTCATTCAATAGCTTTTATATATTATTTTTTTCTATTTTGTATTTTTCAATAGTTATCGTTGAATATACTGTACACCCCATGACGTATTGCCAGTTAGTGTATATGAGTACATAATTATGAAAATGACAAACTCAATGGTATGTAATAATAATATACAATTCGCATGCACGAATGCGTAATTATATGTGTTGACATGGCGACTAACTTCACCAAATCATAATATAGTAACTATAAGCTACACATAAAAAAAACCCTAAGTTAATTTATCCTGCACCAATTACATATACACCTAAACACGGTGTGACCAATGTGTGATTAACTGAAAATAATATTCTCAAAAAAAAAAAAAAAATTTTTTATGAAAATGTTACAGTTAATAATTTACAACAATTTTTTGGACAGTAATATAAATATAGTTCTGTTGTTGTACTTCTTGTACTCACCGCTAAAATTCGATTCAGAATTACTCGGCCAACGGTAGCCGACATCCCGACGGTGGTGTACTTGCATTTCGAAAGGGTTTATGGGTTTTCCCTACCGGTTTTGAGTGTAGCACTACTTTGGCGAAAATCCTAGTCCGGAAAATGTCCAGCAGCCGGATCATGACCGAAGGAGATGTCTCGGCAACAGCTCTATGCGATGACTGGCCCGGCAGCAGCAGCACTGGTGTTCAAACTTTGTCCTTATAATATTTATTTACCCACTATTAAGACACAGTACACGACTACGTGTGAATATCGACTGCGGAACCAGGTAACGGCGTAGCTATACACACACACGAGGGTAGGACAATTATTGCATTATAAATGATGGTGAATGGGTTCGCCTTACCTTGTAACATCGCAGAAGACTTCAATCAATTTTGTTCACACAACGACGGTATCGACATAACGCATTTAATAATAAATATAATGTATGTGTGTGTGGTAAAGAATAGAATATGTCTACAGGAGGGTGGTAATAGTGTCTACGTCACAATATTTTGCGTTGTATAAAAAAAAAAATACATCAGGGTCTAATAATTATGTTACTAATGGTTTGGCTTGCTTGGGTAATCACGACTCATACTAGTTAAAATGTGTTGTTCCGTAGATCCACAAGTTGGAAGACTACTGTCCTCGATTCAACGGCCTCGTCGGAGAGCTCATGGACGCTCCATTTATTATGCAGGAGTGTCCAATAAAGAAGCGACCACGCCACACTGTTATACCGATTGGCGTTCATGCCATATTTGAATGAACAAGCTAAAACTATAGGTAATCAGTAACAGTTACGGTAATTGATTTGTCATCAATCGTCTTGACTATTTCCCCTCGGCCTCGTGACAGGAAATCACACCAACGCCAAAGTATTTTCATATACATGAAGTTGGCCCCCCTACATTATCCTATCAATTCCAAATTAGTGTCAAACTTTTGTAAATTAATTGTAAATCTGGTTTCAGAGTTCGTAAATCATTTTTCCTACACGTTTTACCAAAATACTCTTTCGGGGGAGTCAAATTCACAGAGTCCTCCGAGTTTAACGCATCGACCCCAAACTGGTGTCAAAATTTTGTAAATTAATTGTAAATGTGGTTTCAGAATTTGTAAACCATTTTTTCGGCTTTATAACCAAAATATACTTTGGGGGAGCCAAACTCACGGAGCCCCCCGAGTTTAACGGTTCAATTAGTTTAATATTAAACAAATATATATTTGTATGTTATGCAATCAAATAAAAGATGATTTTCATACATAAATATAAATTTTTTTTTTCGTTTATATTCTATTCTTGATGGGAATTATGAAAACACATTTTGTTTTTTTCATATTACATCATCAGTTAGTTAAGGTGTAAGGTATACACGCTTTAAAGTAAAATATTCGGTTATTTTTTTATGTATAAGCTATATACGATTTTACTCATATACACAACAGTTAAAACACATTGTGCTTCAAATTGTGTATCAATATATTGTGTTCAAACACATGTAGTTAGAACCGTTAACTGATTCACCAAGGCTTGAGGATAACATAACATTAATAATGTACACCCATGGGGCATGTTTATATTTAAATTGGATCGATTGACCATAAAAGTATTTTTGACAGCGATTCAAAGAAAAAATGTCATCTAAACATAGCTACGCATATTATTCACTATTATAGGCTAAATAATAATAGTAGACACATTTTTTTTACATAATTAAAACAATGAGAACTTAATCTAGGTTCTTTCGTCGGTTTGTTTTATATTATCAACACAATTGTCATAATTAATATTTTAATTAAGACATTTTTTTTAACGCCTGTATTTAAAATAGAATTTATGTTTTCTCAAAAAATCCTACAAGCGAATCTAGATAAAGTTTCTTTCTTATTAACAATATCAAAATATGTTTTCTATGAACATTTTGCTTTGAACTACACTTTTTTCCATAAACACATCTTTACGATTAATCTTCCTCTTAAGCTAAAAAAAAATCGTATATTTCCTATAATTAATAATTTTCATTTTGCAATGTGGTTAGGTTAGGTTATGTTAATTTAAAAAAAAATACTCTTTTTTTTTGTTTGTAGTTGAAAGATTTATTAATTATTTGCACGGACACAGTTTTTGATTTTATTGTATTCTAATAAAAGTGTACATTTATTGCGTGAAGCGCTATTTTTAAAAGAACTAAGATTATGCTTTATACATAATCTGCCCGTTCGGCGATTGCGCGGCTGGTGTTGCTAATACTGTTGTCTTCTTAAAAGTTCTGCAATTAAAAAAAATATATACTTAGGTTCATTCGTGCCTTACTAATAGTTCGTTCAAAAATAATATTCTTTCAAATTACTCAGTGTATGCTTTGGAAAGATTTGTATGGGTTTTTTTTTACTAAAACAATAAAAAATAACTCACTTTATAGTAGATACGAAGCTGTAAAACAAAAGGGTAGTGGTTAGTATTCGAATTATAAATGGTTATATTTTGGTGGTTAATGTTTATGAACAATTTCAAAAATTATTGTAATTAATATACACCGGATTGCTAAAATTGTTAATTCATTAACACCGCGTAACATTTGTTAATAAATGAAAGTGATCTTAAGTATGCAAATAAAGAAAATCGACTTTGTGTTACCAGACTATTGTACACTTAAGGACAAGGCATTAATATTGTTCATATTATAATCGGTTATTTATGGTTAAAAAATATGTACCTAATTGATAATTCGTTCAAAAATAATATTCTATAAAATTACTCAAATGTATGCTTTGAAAATATTTGTATGATTTTTTTAGTAAAACAAAGAAAATAACTTACGTCTTTCGCTTGCCCAAAACCGAGTTCTCGCTGAAAAACAAAAGAATTTCGTTATATTATTTAGGTGGTTAATATTTATACAAAATTCTGGAACTATGAAATTCGAGTTATATTGTACACTTGTACAATATCGGATCAAAATTATGGTTCTAGTCTTACCGACCAATTATGGTGAGACCTTGTAAACTATAATGATGAGACATAACCTGTGCATATTATAAATGCTGTAAACTTTTTTTTTGGGCTTAAAAAATGAGTATTTTATTAATAGTTTGTTCAAAAATAATATACTTTCAAATTACTCAGTGTACGATTTGGAACGAAAACAACTTACGTATTCCTTCGGGGTAGATAATCTCAAGCTCAGGTTCAGACTTATTATCAGACTTATATTTAGACTCATATTCAGACTCATATTCAGGCTCATATTCAGACTCACATTCAGGCCCATTTTCAGACTGGCACTCAGACACGGGTGCCACTGAAAAACAAAATAATTTTGTTATATTTCGGTGGTTAATATTTATACGAAATTCCAAAAATTAAATTTATTTAAACACCTGAGAGCTGTATTAGAATTGCTACGAGCAGCATTACAATGTACGAAAAACGCATTTTTGACAATATATAAAAAATGACTGTCGTTTGCCTTTGGAAGTAACTGGAATACTAGTAGTTGGTACCTACTAGTACTATTTTTCTTCTCATATTAACTGCGTAGTGTTTTGTAAATCTAAAAAATACATGTTTTGTTTAGTTGGTTTTTGGTTGTAAAAATTCCTCAGAAAATATTCATCAAACATTTGAATACATAATCGAACTAGAAGTACGTCATTCGAAACACGGATTTACAAAAAAATATAGATGGTAAATGGTAACATGTTGGAGTATTGAAAAAACAACATACTAAGAAACAGATGTCTAAAAATAATCATGGTACAAAAACAATACTGAAAAATAAAGAACTATATTTTATTTACATTTTTAAACGGAGGAAGGGTATAGGTTTTCAATTAAGACTTTTAAAAAACAAAACACAAAAGTTTATTATATTATACGAGAAGACTCAAATCTTGATTTCTTTAAAATTATATGCATTATAATAGATTTTATTTTTAATAAATTTGCAGCACACATTTTTCAGTTAATGTAATATAAAACTATTGTACGATATTGAAAACCACATTTTATGGTTCGATCTGTAAACATTGCCGACCAACTGTTGTGTAAATATGTAAAATCATGTTTTTCAAATCACATTATAACATTTATAAAACCTATGGTATTATTGTTTTATATATAAAATATTACTATGTAACAAAATTAATATAGATTTTGTCAGAAAAAACCAATTCTCCAGTTATATAACGATACTAAGAATGCTTCTATACATTCTTACTTCAGTTCTTAGGAGTTTTTAATGAACATTATTAAGGTTTTATAAAAATAAACTGGTTTTATACAATTTTAATGTAATTTTATATGCCTTGGAACGCATATTCTAGGAAGTAAGCGCCCCTCAATCAATCTTTGAATAATACTTATTATTATGTGTATGTTGAATGTTGGGTAAAATAATTATGTTTGATAATTTTTTAATTAACTATAATTTTTAATTATAGTACTAGTTAAACTATTTTGAATTTATTATTTAGTTCTAGTTTGATCGTTGTAAATACAACACATCATTTTAAATAACAGCGTAATGCTTTTTTTGGTAACACTTTTTTCGGTTAGGTGTGCCAGAGCTAATTCCCACCCCCTACCCCATTTTCACCCTATTCCAGCCCCAATCCCTCATCACCAATCTCTTACTCTTATGTATAATCTCTTATCTCTTTTCTCTCATCAGATAACAGCGTAACAAGTTTTTGGTGACAAGTTTTTCGGTTATGTGTTAACTAGCCACCTTAGATACTAGCTTAATCTATAACACAACTCTAAATTAATCGGTACTTCAACAAGACATGAAAATGCTCTTTCGAGGTTGCAGACTCGACTAAAAAACTTTTTTCTATTAATTGAATACCAAGTTTTTTCTGACATGGATATGTCTTATGTCAAGGGGTCATTCTAAAAATTTGTCCGTCACGTTTTGTGTCACAGTGCTGACATCATTATGGATTATAGAGGAGGAATATGGAGGAATTATGAAGAAGTATGGAGGGAGTATAGAGGGATTATGAAGGTGAATTATTAGAGATAGTGGACTAGAGATAAGATATTAGAGATACTATATTACTAGAGATATTAGATTGCAGGGTAATGCACCCCCCAGCCATAACACATATACATACCAATGAACTTATACATATTATAGAATTTAGTTGTATTTTTTTTTTAATTTAAATGTTATTCACAAGAAAAAAAATCACTGATTTTATCAGTATGTCCTTCAGATCAATATCCAGGTATCGTAATTTAAAATGCCATGGAACTATGTCATGTGAAAATAAAAAAGAAAGAAATTATTTTAATTTATAAGTAATAATATTTATAAGAAAAATGATTAACACTTATGTATGAAAATCATCTTTTTGTTTGATTGCATAACATAAAAATATATATTTTTTTAATAATAAACTAGTTGATCTGTTAAATTCGGGGGATCCGTGAATTTGGTCCCCCAAAAGAGTATTTTTGTTATAACACCGAAAAAATTATTTACAAATGTCGAAACTAGATTTACAATTATTTTCAATTAATTTACAAAATGTTGACACCACTTTGGAGTCGATCCGTTAAACTCGGTTAACGGCGGGTGTCTTCTTAATCTTATAACAATAAACATAATATCGAGTTTAAATTGTATGGAATAGCTTTATTTATTTATACAAAATCACAAAGGTTTATAATATTATTATTATTTCTGTTCACCACATGACGCATTTATTGCTTGGATTCATTGGACTCTTGGCCGGACACTTCCAGACGTTTGCAAAGTCATAATTGTTTTTCAACGAACCGATCACTCGTATGTTATGTTGGGGCTGTAATCGTCGTTCACTTGCAAATCGCTGAACTTGAAGTTGGTGTTATGACACAAAACCTATATAAGAGATAATAAACGATTGACACTCTTTAGATAAAAAATTATCTCGACTAATTATAAGTAGCTTTTTTATTTTTAAGCAAAAAACTCGGTTCGTCGTCCGCACGCGCTCTACAAGTGAAACTTCAAAGATAAAGGAATATGAGACTCGTAAATAAGAATCGATTGGAATAATAAATAAATAAAAAACAATAATTGATAATATACAAAATAAAACCACAGCTTATTACGTATACGGCGGATGTCTTGTCGAAAGGATCCGGTTCTAAGGACAACTGCACTAGGAAATCGGCGCTGAGGTATCGATGGACCAGAGCCAAAGTCTTAGCCATTTTGAATGTAGTTCCGTTCGTGTCTGTGACGGTGGTAAAGTCCGAAAACTTCCTTCTTGTACACCGGCTCGAGTCCGTGTTCGTCCAGTGAATCTGTAGGCAACAAGTAAGAAGTTCATATCGTACAATTTTTGAATTAGTCATTCGAGACACAACATAAGTCACGATTTCCTCCAAATGAGGTCATGGAGACCATGGCCATTAAGACCCACAGATGATAGAAATGTCGTTAAAAGCTCATAGCCGCAGATCACCCATATAATTTTTACTCATCTCCCAAACGTTTTGTATTCATGACTTATGCCCTTTCTCGAATGACTGGCTCGTTTGTGATACATTTTATACAGTACCCATCAAAATTCAATTATTAACTGTGTTTTGTCATGTTTCGTATTCTCGACGCATTCCATAAACGGACATCATTCATACCTGTCAAAAACGGAATCACCATTATTGTTTACACGACCAATGTAAACTATGGACCATGGTAAACTAACATCAAACATAAATATAATATCAACCGAAAATAAAATGTATTTTTTCAATCGACAATATGATAGTGTAGATTACTTACTGTCCCAAAGCATCACAGTGATATAAATAAAACACAGAAATGACATTAATCCAAGAAAAGACAGTAGCGCTAGACAGCAGATGAGTTTTTTTTTTAATTTACTACTGCCCAACCATGCTTGTTGTAGTTTCCTGAAAAGCATACAACAAATCGAATCAATAAACGGATTCGAGTAAGCTCTAAATGTTTGGACCTAACCGGACCTATGTGTGCAGAATAAATATAGATATGTTGACGCATAGGAGACAGCCGGTTGGTGGGAAAGATAAAGAATAGATTCGTGAAAGAAACGGAGAACTTGCTAGTGGAGGACTCAAAAAACCTAATAAATTATATCGGGTATAGGGTGTTGATTGCAGTGGAATATTGTTTAATACTGTATAATAACATAAACTAAAACGTCTCCAAACGTTTTAAAATCTCACTAACCTGTACTTATTGGAAGTAACAGATACATAGTCATCTTGTTGCTGCTGTTCATGGTTGTTAGTAAAATCGGACGGTGCCATACGACACTCTTTGGTGGCAAACAGGAGATCTTCAACCGTTTACAGAGAAGCTGAACGAAGACGGTTGGTCTGCTGGCCAGCAACTCTGCTCTGTGACCTTACTAAATGATAAAAAACGCATTTGTAAAAATATGGTATAGATGCTCATTTGATCTCCTTTGTAACAATATATATTATGTTCTATCATTGCATAGACTAATTTGTGTTGGTACTAATCCACAATCAGAACCTGGAATTGAGACTAGATCTATAACAAAATATGTTTAATGAATCAACATTATCATTTAAAAAATCGATTTACTTCAAAATGTTCGTCTCGAATGATAAAAATGTACAAACATGTAATTTATAAGTGTTAGAAGACTGAAACATACAAGTAAGATATAGTTACCTACTCCAAGTAATTTATAGAGAACATAATTCTACATTTTAATTAATTATTATCATATGATAAGTGGTATTATTTTTAATTTAAATAACTATATTGTGTTATAGAGTATAATGTGACTTAAATAATTTTACTAGATAAGTGTTGTGCTAACCATTTAGTTTTAAATCCTTAAAAAATGTTCTCAAATAATATTTCAGCATACACTTTCTGATACAAATATAACTATAAATCACTCCATTAAAGTTTGAGAAATAACCAACAGAAATGTCAATTAAAAAATACATTTTTAGTGAGTATCCTTAAAATCAAAAATAATTTTATTTTAAGAATAACAATGACTATTAATACCCACTTTGTGTATCGCATTGATGACCTATATTTTAGTATTTTACTAAGTATTTTATCATTGTATTATTTTTATACTGTATTCATATATAAGCGTTTATTTAGCTTGTAATTTAAAAGAATAACGCAGTTAACACATTCATTTTATCACAGATTTGAGTGAAGTTTATTGGTGTCTGGATAAATATGTGGGGGCAGATTAGGTGGTCAATTTGAGGTGCGGTGGTTATCAGTATTTTTTTTGATTTTGGAGAATTAGGATTTGGGGATCTTAAGCGTTTCTTATCAATTTTTTGCCATTCCTCATCATCTTCGGATATTTCTGGCAACGACGAATTTTTAGCTTGGCGGCTCATAAAAGTACTGTTTGCTGATGATAATATCGGTGAAACCGTTTTAACAATAGAGCTTTGCTATAGTAGCTATATATCTGTGGTATTGCTATTAGGCATAGCGGAGAGGAAGAGCGGCGAGACGGGTTCGAGAGGCAACCTTGACCAGTTGTCAACCGCGTTGAACGGTTTTTGTTGTGCACAATATTTTAGCTGCACTTATATGCGTAGTCAAATTTAAAATTGTTATAAATTAGCATAACATGCTCATAGAATACATAAACTCATTTTATGATTGAATAAAAAAAAAATGTTATAAAATATAAGGTTCACGGGTTCATAAAACATTTTAGGTAACTAATTTTCATTTATTTTGGCGGAAAACAGTGACGCCCGCTGTACTATTGTTACCTAACCTAGCGGCAGAGAAACAAAAAACTAAAACTACAATAATTAGTATTACCATTAATAACATTATGAATTAATTGCCTGGATTTAGAACTCTTTAAATCTGTCTATGAGTTATGAATTTAGACAGTTAAACTGAGCATACAATTTGTAAGTTATCGTTTGTACAGCGGTGATAATTTCATACTTCAACACTTTTTTTTTGTTATAATAACGTTAGGTTAGATCAAAAATACTATTATTAAAGTAATGGAACATCATACAAACCTGTAACTAAATTCAAACCTTATAAATATTTTTAAAACTTTGAAAAAGATTCTCACAGCTGACACTTTTACATATAAAATTCTGTATTAGACATTCATCATCAAGTATTTTAACGATACAAGTGTCAGCTTCCGGATTTGTTTTTTTTATATTTAAATATAATATTTATAAGTTTTGAAGTAATGAGGTTAATATAATGGGTTAATGAAAATAGATTTTTTACAGTAAATTCAACGGGGAAAATATGGCTTTATAGGAGCCAATTGTAATGCTGAAAATGTATACATTTCATCTTTCCGCCAAATAAAAAAAACAATTCATAAGGTAACAAAGACGTTTTTTTGAGACAGTAATATATACATATATATATAAATCATAATGTATGTTTTTTTTGTTCTTTTTGTACTCACCGCTTAAAATTGATTCACAATTACAGCAGCCGGATCACGAACGAAAGGGGAATCGTTTGTTTCGGCAACAGTTCTATCCGTCGACTGGCCAAGCAGCAGCACTGGTGTTGGCAAATTTTTTTTTATGTACATATGTTTTTTACCCACGTAAGGCCCACTCGTGAATATCGACTGCGGTAACGCGCAAGGTAACGTGGTATGTACACATAAAAACACACAAAAAGGGCAGGCAAAATGTACTGCATTATAAATGATATTCAATATGTTCGTCTTACTTTGTAATATCGCATAGGACTTCAATCAATTGGCACATACGCGACGACAGCGCAGGCATAACCCTTTTCATTTTTAATGCGTGTGGTTAAAAAACAGAATAATGAATGAGGGGCGGTCTTGAAGGAGGTGTAAAAAATGTATGCGTCATACTTTTTTGAGTTGTATATATATATATATATATATATATAAAAAAACTACGATAGAGTCTAACTATATCGTTACGTTTGGCGATTAGTTTAATATTAACATTTCACTTTTATAACCGTCCGAAATCAAAGACAATTTATCATCGCCATCTTGAGCTCAACGGATTTGTCCATCTTCTTCGCCTTGTCCCAAACAACTTTGGCCTTGACCAGAGAAATTGTCTTTCTACACAAATACATAATATTTGATTCACTGTTTTTTTTTTGTTGTAAAAATCATTGAAAGAAGAGGACTTGGCAATTATATGGCTTATCAAACGTTCAATGTACGTTTAATGACACACCATTTTGAACACTTAAGACGGCGTAAATAGTTAACGCGTATTACTTAAATGTTTAATAATATTTTATTTTTTATTTAAAACGTAGAAAACATCTATCCAACTACTTCAAGACGAATGGTTATCTTTTTAGTAATATATAAAGTACAATAATAGTTATTTAATAGTTACTGAAACGGTTATTTCATACCGTTTCTTATTCAAGGACAGTTTATAAAAACCGTAGTCGGTACTTAAAGCTAATTAAAATCACAGAAATATGTGCCTAAAATGCAATGCAAACACAACCGATCGCTTTGAGTTATTACCAATTATCGCGATAAAATGATTAAAATTAAAATATAATTTTTTAATTTATAGGATTTCCTTCTCGTTTTTTCAAGTACCAGCGCTGACTAATGTAGAGCAAACATTGATACACTCCACATCGCTTATCTACTACTTTGGGCAACTCGACGTGGTTCATATTTAACTTTTGTTATTTTAAAATGTTTTCGATTTTCCATTCTTACATAATGTTGCTCACTAGGTAATTTTCATTTCATTAAGCAGTAAACACAATTACTATTCGCATTAGTTTACTAGTAAATCTGTTAGTTGTACAATCAGCGTTGTACCAAACTTACTATTGACTGAATTTTTTTAATTATTTAATAACAATAAACGAACGCCTGGAGGAACATTTAAGTGGATCAATCACACAAGATCTTAGGTAAGGCACTTAACGTTTAATTCTACACACTCCAACAGTTTAATACCAAAACAATATTCTAGGCTTTTACATGAATTTACTGCTTCTCTGTTTTTTGTTTTAACTTAACTTCTTTTATTTTACTTCTGTAATAACAACTGTTAAATTATTATTAACAACTTTTTAGATCACTTAATTCAGCAATGCCAAATAATTTCAATAAGCTAAAACTTTTGTTATGGAAAAACTTGATGATCCAAAGGAGAAGGTCTTTGCAATCGGCTTTTGAAATGTTTTTACCTGCCGTTATAGCATTTGTAATGATTTTCTTAAGAACGTGGGTAAGACCAGTAGAATTTAATGAGCCTACAAGATACCCTGCATTTTCAATAACGGCGCCTCCGATAATTACAAATTATACAGACAGGTATTAACAGTTCATTCGAATGACTCTTTTATGATGTTACTGCTTACACTCCCTCATTGTTATTATTTTCAGGTGGACTATTGCATGGAGTCCATATAATCCAGCGTTAGAACTAATAATGATCGCGGCTTTTGCAAAGATCTCAATGTTGAAACGTAAGTTGACGGTTAAATATGATTAAAAGAACCTTGAAAAAAACCCGTGTTGACTTTTGTGCAGTGAGAAGTTTCAACGACTGTGCCGAAATGGAAAACAATCTAAATCGAGATAGAAAAATGAAAACTTATTTATCCGGCGTCTGCTTCGACAACGTCCTACCCAATTCGACTTCAGTGCCGAAAAATATAGTCGTAAGTCCAAACAAACATGAGTCCAAATCGACATTAAATTGAAAAAAATAACAAAATATATTTTACTTTAAGATAAAACTCAGGTATCCGTGTCAGCTAAGAGTGACCAAAAAGAGCTTAATGAGTTTTGACACCGTCGAAGCAAACTGGAAAACGTACTTGTCGTTTCCTTTGTACCAAACGTTGGGACCTCGTCACAAAGAAGAAATCAGCGGTGGCGAACCTGGCAAGTTAAAACAAACGGTTTAGAAATTAGAAGAACTAAGAAAATTCGAGATAAAATATTGCAAATAAAATATCAAAATGTATTACTGCGATTGTAAATTTCCAACTCGTGTCATCAGGTTACGTTGCCGAATCGTTTTTGTACGTTCAAAGTTTGATCTCCGAGGCCTTTGTCACGTATTGGTCTCCGGACAAGTGTATTCCGAAAATTCAAATGCAACGTTTTTCGTATCCAAACTACAAGTTCGACCCTTTACTCACGGCACTGTCTTCGTTCGTGTCGATTCTAGTGATGTTTAGCTACGTGTACACGGCTATTAGTACAATAAAAATGATTGTATCCGAAAAGGAATCAAAATTAAAGGTACACGCGGTTGATTGAATGTCGGTTCAAGACTTCATCCGCATCGATAATATTTATAACGCTTTTTCAGGAGACCATGATGCTGATGGGATTGGACAATTGGTTGATAGCCACAGCTTGGTATTTGAAGAGTTTTGTGGTGTGGATGATACCACTATTTGTAATTGTGCTGTTCGTCACGTACAATTGGCCGGCCACAGAAGGAAATCGATGTTCCGAAATGTTTATGCTCCTGATCGTCCTCACTCCATTCGTCACCTCCAGTATTTCTTACTGCTTTCTGGTTGCAGCTTGCTTTAAAAAAGGTAACCATGTGGCAAATCAATAAATTCCTTATTCCGTAGCCATGATTAAATGCCTTCAATGATACCGTGTGTTCGTTTAGCCAACACTGCAGCAGCCGTCGGTGGAGTCCTGTGGTTCGTCACATTCACTCCGTACATGATCTCCCAACCTAAATACACAGCAATCTCGTCGCGCTACATTCTATTGTCCACTGTTTTACCGAATACCGCTTTGGGGTATATATTTCAAAGTTTCATCATGCTCAAAGGTATCGGAAAAGATCTATCTTGGACGACCATCGCATCGCCCATCACCCCGGACGACAAATGCAGTATAGCTAATGTCATGACAATGCTGGTTGTGGATACGGTATTGTATTTAACGATAGCTTTATACACGGAAATTGCTTTTCCGGCACATGGTGGCTATCGACCTCCGTGGTACTATCCTATCCAGGTAAATAGATGCATACCATTTTGCTTACAGTAATTTTAATATTATTTTTTGGCGCATTTATAATATTTAGCTCTCGTATTGGTTTGGCCAAAAGCAATCGAACACCGATGTAGGCCCAGGAAAATCGGGAATTCAAATTCAATCGCTGACCAAGTACTACGGTAATTGCGACCAACCAGTGGTCGACAGTCTAACCGTGGACATGTATCCGAATCAAATCACCGTTCTATTGGGACACAACGGTGCCGGCAAGTCGACTACCATGTCGATGCTAAGCGGTTTGATAAGGCCATCATCCGGTTCGGCTTTAATAGAAGGACGTGACATTAACACTCAGATGAAAACGATTCGCAGCTCATTGGGGCTCTGTCCACAATACAATTTACTCTTTCCGGACCTAACAGTCATTGAACATTTAAAGTTTTTCGGGGTGGTGAGTACGACAGTAAACAAAATAAAATAGGTAAACGTGTTAATTGATGCAATATCAGAAATAACAATTTAAATTTCAGTTGAAAGACTTGAGTAACGAAGCGCTAAATGATGAGATACAAAAATATATAGTGAAATTCAAATTGGAGTCCATGCTCAATACCAAAGCCGAACACCTCAGCGGAGGAATGAAAAGAAAGCTATCCGTCGCCATCGCTTTGATCGGAAAGTCTAAAGTATGTTATAGCAAAAGTGATGTATTTAAAAAATAACTTTACATGTTTTGTAACAGGTAGTGTTGATGGACGAACCGACTTCGGGCATGGACCCAATAGCCAGACGAACCTTATGGAATATTTTACAGTCGGAACGTGAAGGAAGGACAATAGTGATGACTACTCATTTGATGGATGAAGCCGACTTGTTGGGTGACCGAGTAGTTATAATGAAAACTGGAAAACTTTGTTGCGTTGGAACGCCGTTCTCGTTAAAAAAGAAGTATGGTAAGAAATCATTAATTTTACCATTAATAACATGTTAAATTCTCATGTTGATTAGCAGAAGCTTATACTTTTAGGCGGTGGTTATAATCTCACATTGATAATGGACAAAGCGACATTCGATGTCAACGGAACGACAATGTTTATCCAAAATCATTTCCCTAACGTTATACCTGGCAGAATCACTCCCGTGGAAGTGACCTACAAATTGCCAGAGTCGGGTTTAATTCCAGAGCTTCTGAACACCTTGGAGAAAAATAAATCATGTTTAGGAATCAAAGAATACGGTATTACATTCATCAGGTTGGATGATGTTTATGAAAAGTTGGTGTGATTGAATCTTGTACACGCCTAATCGATGGGGTATTAAAATAAATTATGATTTTTTTTGTTAACCAGATTCAGCAACCACGATGGTCAGTTACCTTATCAAAACTCATCCCACATTAAGTTTACTTCCGACAGTTGTGTATACGAAAAAAACCGTTTACATTTAAAAGCTAATAGTGAGTACCTTTTCTCTAAACGCAATCGTCGAAATAGGAATTGACATATTATTTTAATCGCACAGGAGCTACGGGATGGAAACTATTCGCCATTCAATTGCAGGCGTTGATGGTGAAAAAATACTTACAGTCTTCTCGTGCATTAGTTTTGCACTCGCTTCAAATAGCACTGACGGTTGTGTTCATATTCGCGTCATTCGCTGTCGTATTCGCGTGGAAAAGCATAACGGACCTTCCGGCTCTGGCTGTCAGCTTAGACGTATGTTATCCCGAGTACATGTCGACCATAGTAATTTATTTTTTACAAATTCGTATCCTTTAACTAGAATTTTTGGAAGCCAGTTAGCACAATAATGTTGGCATCTCATGAAAGAGACGTCATAGACATGTATAATTCATACAAAAATGCTTGTGCGCCGTATCCTGTGCTCGAGGTGGGAGGCTATAACAAATCACTGGAATATTTCGAAAACTTTTTGCTAAAAATAGTAAGTCTTGCGCTATATTTGTTAATAAAAATAATCACCCTTCGAATGTCTTACAACAGGCAGCCAAGAACGTACCGTTGTACACGCAGACGTACATAGTCGGCGCTGTGTTCAATAGAAGCACCGCAGTGGCATACTTCAACAATAAGCCTTATCACGGTCCGCCTTTGTCTTTGAATATGGTCTACAACGCTATTCTGAAATCCCAATGCGGCGAGGATTGTGGAATTGAAATCGTCAACCATCCGCTACCGTACCAAGGGATGGACAGGGTTAGTGTATATAATTGGTGTGGCCACCGTAAAAAGGACTAACTTACCGACTTATCTACTCGAATAAACTTCAATCAACTCGTTACACTTCACACATACGCCATAATTTTTTTATTTCAGCAACTGACGTTGGTGGGTGGCAGCAATTTGGGTTTTCAAGTGGCGTTCAGCTGTGCCGTTTCCCAAGCCCTGGTATGCGCGCTGTACGTGCTCTATGCGGTCAAAGAACGGCAGAGCGGTGTTAAGCTAATGCAAAACATTGCTGGGGTTAAGCCCACAGCGTATTGGATAGCGTCTTTACTGTGGGATTGGATCAGCTATTCGTTGATCATATTCACCATCGTGGTCGCGTTGTACGTGTACGGCGATCCGGGCTATTCTGACTTGAAGCAAACGAGTAAACGAAAATCGTGTACAATGCCGGGATACACAATAATTACCGTTTTTTATTTATTTACAGACTCCATGCTCGTCCTTTTGGCCGCTTTCTCGTGGGCAGACCTGCCTTTGATGAGTCTGTTTTCGTACCTGTTCACCGAACCTTCTTCGAGTTTCTCCGGCGTAGCGATATTCAACGTTATTACCGGCGCTTTTGGTCTTATGCTCGTCATGATCCTTCAAGTGGAACCGCTGTGCCTGAAAGACCAATCTCGGTTCATTCACTCGGTGTTGATTTATTTCCCGCATTACGCGTTGAGCAACGGTTTGAAAAATATTTACGCCCACCACGAGTACAGTGAAATATGCCAGTCCTACGAAAACGGTTAGTCGAATTGTGACTGTTTCCACCATCGTGGCCACGCTTTTTTAGTAAAATATTATCGTTATTTAATCGTAGCCACGTTGTGTCCTGTGAGGGGGAAAATTAACAAAGGCGAGAACAGCTGTTTACGCGGGATCGTAAGTCCGGAGATCGACAGAAATGTTGCGCATTTGTTTTGGTTTGGTCTGGTAAACGTTTTGCTGCTATTGTCGTGTGAATATCTCATGCGTGCCACGAGCAAAACAAGAGATGTTCTTTGGAATACTTTGAAAGATTCTATTGAAAAAGCTGTCAACGCAGACACAAACGATAGTAATAATATGAGCTCTTCCGAATCGGACGTGCAGCGTGAGAAGCAAACGGTTCACGACTCCTCTTATCCGCAGAGTTTCTCTGTTTACCTCAAGTATAAAACAAACGCTAAATACATCAATGATCACGATTGATTCATTTTAGACGATTTTTTTAAATTTATATATATACAGAAACGTAGGGAAAAACTACGGTAAAAAACAAGCGGTCATGGGAATGGATTTGGCTTTAAGACCCAACGAGTGCTTTGGACTGTTGGGAACAAACGGAGCTGGCAAAACGACCACGTTCCAAATGGTTACCGGAGATATTAAAAACTCTTCGGGAGACATCTATGTGTGCGGCATACACGTTAACAACAACAGCCAAAAGGCAAGCGTGACGTTGTGCGAAATTATTTGTGAATATTTTATACTATAACTTGAAACTTGTGGGTTTTTTTAGATTCACGAAGTGGCTGGCTACTGTCCACAGTTTAACGGTATTATCGAAGAGCTCACCGGCTACGAATCGCTTTATTTCTTCTCTCGCCTAAGAGGAATGTCGAAAAAAGAGGCTACCGACGTTTCGTTCCATCTTGCCTCGAGGCTAGCGTTAATCCCTTATTTGAACGTACAAGCGAAGAACTACAGGTATCGCTATTCCTATTGCGTTGTTGATCTATAGAAGTGTCAACTGCATTAAAATGTAAAAACCACATTCGTTTACACAGCGGAGGAAACAAAAGAAAACTAAGCGCAGCCATGGCGATGATCGGCGATCCTCCTGTATTGTTTTTGGACGAACCAACGTCCGGCATGGATCCCGCCGCCCGGAAAAACTTGTGGGACTTCATTAGCGAAGAAAGAGATAAGGGAAAATGCATATTCATCACGACACACGGGTAATACGACAAAATTACAAGCGTTGTCTATTATTATTATTTTGAATAAAACCATGTTTTATCGTCCTCGCCGTGAACGTTTGCAGTCTTGAAGAATGCGAAGCCGTGTGTACCCGTTTAGCCATAATGGTGGACGGTCGAATCAGCTGTATAGGATCTATACAACATCTCAAGAACAAATACTCGGATGGCTACCAGTTGCACGTGAAATTTCACCCAAACAACCGGAAACCCGCCAAAGAGTTCATAGAAGTTTTGTTCGAAAGTAATACAACTATTTTGTCATCGAGAAAAAAAAACATAATATTATTATAGCTAATCGGTTCGCTGTAACGTGTGCAATTATTATTGTTAATTATATATGTATACATTTTTTTTCACCAGACTATTCGATAAGTGAACAATTCGAATCAATGTCGGTGTTTCATATTCCTGAAAAATATTCTTGTTCGTTTGTATTCACACAGATGGAACAAGCAAAACGAGACATGTCGATTGTAGACTATTCAATTCAACAAACCACTCTGGAACAGGTAATTACCATTGAAACACCGTTATTTTTTGATAAAAATAAAAAACCACCTTTAACTAAATTAATATTATACACTAATGTTTTTAAGGTGTTTTTGAATATCATCAAAAATAAAAATCAAGCCCTATAGCACAATTTTTGGATGTTGTATTTGTTAACGCCACGATGAAAAAATTAAGACTGTTTTCAACTATCAAAACTAGATGGATTTATGGTGTTCATATTAATTGTTTAACGTTCAAACAACGAATCAATAATTATAATTTATATTTATTATTTATTTTAATTTTTTTTTACAATAATAATTATAATTAGAAAAATAATTATAAGTATATAAGGCACTTTTAGAATAATAATAAATAAAATAAATTGGGTCTTTGGCATATAAACGTAAACTAATGTAATTATAAAAATATATAGTTATCATTATAATATTATCTAAGTATACTCAAAACAAAATAATTGATATTTAAGTCTTTCAAATAGGTACATTCTTATTATAATAACATTTATAGGATATCGACTAATATACAAACAGAAAAAAAAACAGAAAATCAAGCACATTTTAATGGGCGTGTAGTATGTAAGAAATTATTTTTTAAGAAAAAAAGGTAATTACTAACTTGTTTGCTAACGAAACACAGTAACTATCGTTGTAAATCTAATATTTTGCCGAAAAAATGATACATACTTAAGATAAAAATTGACTTTATAAAAATAAATTATTCGTTATGACCATTTATGAACACATACAAGTGACTTATTAGTATTAAACGTAATATTAACAATAGTAAATGGTAAAACACAATGTTGTAGTCCCCAGAGGGCGTAGTCAATATTCTTAACGCAATTCCAAGTGAGGTCTCTTAAAGCAACCCACTGGCAGTGCTTTTCTTATTGCGTCGATGTTGTCGACGTCGCTGGCAAGAGCCGCAATCTCTTCTTCGTAGTTCTTGATCAGCTGGGCCTGCACGATATTAAGAGTAATTTGAAAACCACCTTATTACAGTTTCTATTATGATTTACACAAACAAATTATGTAGGAGTTTAACGTACCTGAGATATCCTCGCCTCGTTGATGGCGACCAGTTTTTCGTCCAACTTGGCGTTGGTCAACTCCTGTTCGGCGGCTTCCAACCGGGAGCTCAGTTGGTTCAACTTTTCACTGTCTGATAAATAAAAATAAGAAATTCATCTTAATTTGTTAATTACATTATATGGATGACAACAAATAGTCATAACCAATCAATCCTAATCGTAGCCACCCTACTACTAGAAGTACAATTTAAAGTACATTACTGTCATTACAATGCAGTTATAATAATTTCTATGGTCCTGTGACCTCCCCCTGCCCCAATATGCTCCATACTCGCATTATGCTTCTACCCCACTTTGCTGGCTTTTAAATAATATAAAAATAACGGTTTGGTATGAACGAGTTTGTTAAACGTGCACTGACCGACATCCACTAAATCCTTGAGTTCTTTCAAAATTGCATCGACGTCTTCCCGAGCTTTGTTCACCGTCTTCTTGGCATCGGACGCCGATGTTTTCGCTTGGCCGATTTTTTTCTTCGCCTAAATTTCGTGTTGAATTTTTAAATAAAAGAAACATGTTTAAGTAACTTTCACACCAAATACTCACGTCGTTGATACTCTCTTGGTCTTGTTCGAATTGACTTTCCACTTCTCTCAACCGGCCTCCGGTGTGTCCAACGCGTTTCGATAGCCCGTCGCTCTCGTCCAACAGATTGCGCACCTCGGCGACGGTTTCCGTAGCGGATTTTTTAATTTTCTCGGCTTCCTAAAAAAAAATAGAAACAACCAATTCAATCGAGAGTCTGATAAGTCTGTCTTAAAGACAATGCCAAACCATTGACGCTTGCTCGGCGAATGTCGTTTGCGCTTGTTGCGCCAGGTTTCTCGCATTAATGGCACTATTCTCTGCCCCGGTCAGAGCCCGCTGGGCACGCGTTGTCTTGTCGTTGGCTTCTTCGATCAACTTTTTTATTTCCGGAACTTGCTCCAAAGCTTCGGTCGCGCTCGTCTTGCTATCCTGCACTTGTTTGTCAAAAGCTGAAACAAAAACACACACAGACAATTGACGATGAGCAATTGCAACAACAACAGCTGTACAAAATAAATACCCTGTAGAGTGTACAACGTTTGTTGAGCTTCCTCCAGAGTCTTGGCTCCCAACTTCACTGCTTGGGTGGCTTTCTCGTAGGACGCGTTCGCCTGTGCCAAATAGTTTTCTCTGGTCTTTTTTTGCATTTCTCCTTGTTGCAAAGTCACGTCCGACTGCTGCAGTTCTTCGGCTACCTCCATCAAAAGGTTAGAGTTGCTCTCCTGCAGCCTTTTGATTTCGTCTTTAATTTGTTGTATCTATCCAACGACAATGCGGATTGTGATAAATCAGTAATGACCCACAAGATAATGGTGATCTATTATGCTATAATTTCCAAAGGAAAAATTCGTTACCTCTAAATTCAAAGCCGAAGCGTTCTGCTTCATCGCCGTAGCGTTGATATCGGGCAAGTTGATTGCGTATATATCACTATAAATTGCCAACGAGTCGTTATTGATCATCGCGACTAAATCTTTGGTCTCGTTAGCTTGTTCTACAATAGCGTTCAATTTGTCTTTGACGAAATTCATTTCGGTGTCTAACGTCTTCAATTCATCGCTTTAAATATACAAAAACATATTATATACTTCAGACTTCAGAATGTTTACATTGTGTTAAAACGAAGTTTTTACCTTATATTTTTTTGTTGATTCACAGCATCTTTGGTGATTTCAAACGCTAATGCTGAAACGTTAATGGCCTTTTCAGCAGTATCTCTCATTTTTCTGGCTTCGTCTTCTTTCCTAAATAAATGAAACAAAATATTGTATAATGAAAATTTGTTTTGATAGGTAAAAATGTATTGGTTTTATCACGCATACAATTGCACGAATGTCCTGGCTTCTCTGGCGATTTCAGACATTTGATCGCTCTGCTGACCGAGTTCGTCGCTTTTAACTATCGCTTTAGCAAGCGCAGTGGCTCCTTCAGTCTGTATGTAGTCCATTGCTCTTTTCAACGTGTCGGTAGTTTCCTCGTTTATTCGCTCGACTTCGGTTACATTTTTTTCGGCTTCCATCGCGTTTCTTTCCGCGATAGACGTCCAATTACTAGTCTGAGCCATAAGTTCCTTGATTTCTTTGATTTGACCTTGCAAGGATTGTATCTTGTCACTGGTAGAGATGTTTCCTAAAATATTATATGTAAGTAATTAGTTGCATATATATCAATATATATTAGTAAATCATTAGATATCACTCACCGCCACCAGACGATTTGGCATTCTTTTCCAATTCGTCTACTTGTGACTGTACTTCTCTTAACTTTTGTTCGAATTCCGAATCGTTGATGACAGTCGGGCTGTTGTTGATGTCTTTCAATACTTTTTCTAATTTTTTTAAATTGTTGCGATGTTCTTCGACGGCGTCTTGCACCAAGTTATAGCACGCCGGGCAGTCTACGCAACCTCTTTGTCTGTCGTACTTGTTTTCCTTACATTGATCACAACGTCTGCCTTCTACGTTTTCCAAACACTGCCGACACACAAGAAAATTAGTTTTTTTGTACCAAAAAAAAAAAAAAACAACAAAAATTGAATAGTACTGGATTTCAATATATTCTATAAACATACCGGACACTGTCCACTAGCGTCACATTGAAGCGAAACTGAACCTATCGAGTCACAAGCACAGGGCTTACACCCTTCAGTGGAGTATCCATAGTGGAAAGGTTCACATCCGTCACACTTCTTGCCGGTTATACCCGGGCGGCAAACACATTGACCGGTGATAGCGTCACATGTGTTGTTCAGAGAACCGATTGGATCACATTCGCAAGATTGACAACCCTAAAACAACGAGGTGCATATTAGATGCGTTGTGTTCCTGATTGTTGTTCAGTGATATATTTTTAGTATTGAACTTACGTCTCCGCTAATAATGTTAAAATGACCGACTTCGCATTGGTCGCAATTCACACCTACTACGTGTGGCTTACACTGACATTGTCCGGTCAACTGATCACACGCCAAAGGTCCAAAACCAGTTTCAGTAGTTCCCAGATGGTAGCAATCACAGGGCTTACAATCTCCTTTAGTCGGAGCAAGGGCATCTCCAAAGAAACCTAAAAGCATAATAATTGTATTTAACCCCAATTTATTCATTCAGTTGTTAATATATTATGTTAATATATTTTATGGACGTACCTGGTAAACATTGGTCGCACTGCTGTCCTCCAGTGTTGTAAATACATTTCAGACATTCTCCCGTTGTCCTGTTGCAGTTTCCAATACCATTTGGATCGACGTTTGAGTTGCAATCGCATGGCTTACAAATGCTGACTAGACCATTTTTACCGGTTGGATCGCCGAAATATCCGTCGCTACAAATATCACATCTCGGGCCTAAAGGAATTATTTAACGGTTAAAAATGTTGCTTTCTATTGAAACATGAGTGTATTGTGTTTGCTACCGACCTCCGTATCCTTTTGGACATTCCAAGCAAATAACCGTATCTTCTCCAATCAGGACACAACTTCCTTGGTTAGGACACGGACACAGTTTGCAGTCGTAAGCGGTTCCTTGCAACGCATTGCCGTAGTATCCCTTTGCACATCGATCACAATTCTCACCTGCAGTGTTGTGCTGGCAAATACACCGACCTGACCACGTAAAGGTGTTAGGTAACAAATTTGTTTGTTTGCTAATAAAAATAATTATTTCACCCCTGCTGGGATGGTAATAACCAGAAAATATCAGGTACCTGTATCGGCGTCGCAAATCGAGGCATGTCCGTGGCAGTTACAAGGAACACAAGGAGAGAAAGGTCCGCCGCTCGTGGGTTCGTGTCTTGAACCCGGCGCACAAGATTCGCAGAACTGTCCAATATATCCTTCGGGACAAGTGCACATTTCCACCCAGTGAGCTGGCAATCCCGGTGCGCCTCTGCGTGCGGTTTGGAGTGAAAAATCATCCAAAAATCCAACACCTAAGACGACAGAACATATTATAGACAATGTCATTTGATCATGGGCTTTACCATATTATAATATCATACCTCTTTCTGTGAACGTTCCACGAACTTTTACTGCCGTCAAGTTGGACAAGACGTTGAAGAATTCGCGAGTCGATAATCTTGGCTGCCAACCATAGTCCGGGCTTTCGTGCAAGCGGAATTTGAACATTTTTGGCTATTGACAAATCAATAGTTATATTAGCCGATGCGTACCTTTACCACGCGTTGACGGTTAGATAATAATACAATTACCGTATCAGAAGGCAGTGGATTTCCTTGTCCGAAAATCGTTTGGGTAATGCGAATACCGGAACCTCCTTCCAAAACGACATCGTTTACCGTCGGTTCGGGACTATTTTCGCCTATGCTCAGCTTAAAAGTCAAATCGTGATTGTAACTCGATCGTTGGTCTCCGAGGAATTTATCTATTTTATACATACCATCGTGTTAATCTTCAAAATTACAATAACACCATATTAGTTAGTATACTGACCAGGAGCTAAGAAGTACACGGGTTCTCTGGACGGGGACGAAATTTCCAAAGACTGTTTGAACGGACTATGGACTGGCAGTATTGTTCTTCCATAGACATCTGATCCGTTCCAACGTTCGCTTCCCCGAGCAAACACGCTTTCGACCGACACTAAAACGGTTCGTTTGATCAAATAAAAAAGTTTTCAAATATAATTTATTGGAAAGTACCTTTCGAGTAACCCGAAGCCGACTGACACACTGACGAATGCCCGTAACAGAAGCAAGGCGTGCATCCAAATTCGTTGTCCTCGTCTAAGTTAAAGAAGCTGGGTTTGCATCTACAGAAAACAATACGAGGTTGGTGAAATAGAACTTTTCTATTATACTTCGTATCAACAGAGCTCTTTGATCCCTTTGCTAGCCCTAACTGTTGCGAGTGATACTTAACGAAAAAAAAACGTATTTACCTGTTACACTGAATGCCCTCGACGTTTTCTTTGCAAATACAGTGGCCGGTCTCGGGATTACACCGCGGTTGATTGTCTAAACTCCCGGCAACGTTACACCCACAAGCTTTGCATCCTGTTGGTCCGAAATCGAAATAATTTTCTTCGCATCTGTCGCACTTGTCACCGGTAACACCGGGACGGCACTGACATTTGCCTTCGGAGTTACACTGCAAACTCCAAGACCCTGGTAACGTCCAAAATCACTAATTATTATATTTTACTTTGGACAATTGTCATGAACAAGTCTTTTAGCTGGGGATAATGCTAAGAGACGTGCTCCTGATCCATCGTCTTCTCCAGTAGGAAGATTCAATTTTTGTTTTACTTACCAATTTCGTTACACTCGCAAGCCGTACAGTATATTTCTCCTTTTCTCTGGAAGTAGTTCTCACGGCATCTCTCGCAGTTAGACCCGTCTCGGTTGCCGGCACAATCCAGACAGTGTCCGCCGTGCCCGGTCCGGTCGTACAGGTCTTTGTCGAAGAAACATCTGTGCGAAAATCCGTTGCAGTTGCACTCTAAAACAGAGAGTCGTCGTCAATATCTCACGTTGAACGTTTCGGAGAAAAATCCAAACTAAAGCAAAATTAAAGCAACCGACCGGCATGGTCGTCGGCATTTTTACACCAGCAATAAGACAACCGTACGGAGTGAGCCGTAAATACATAAACCAGTTCTGGGTGGTAACGTCAAGCCGGGAATCGCAAAACTATTTAACCGTGTTCTGAATACCAAATCCGGCATAAAATCATACGTATATTATTGTCTTATAATATTTATGTGGGAACTACAATAAACGACTGTTTACTAATTCAGAACAACGAGATTTGTAAAAAAAAAAAAATTCCCCCTAATGGATTTTTGTTTTGTTTCCCAAACGACAACGGATATAAACGAACACACAAATGCAAAAACTAGTTTTTCGTGTTTAGTCCAGACGCTAATTGGAATTTATCATTTCCAAAATTATAAAACCTAATTAAAATTTGCACACAACCATAATGTACATATTAACGGTACCTACATAATTTAAAGGAAAACATTGTATGTATAGAATTTCTTATAACGGTTTTGTCTGTAAAGGAAAAATGACATTCCAAACACCTAATACGGAAGAAGTTTATTGCAACAGACATGTCACAATGTGCCAAAACACGATGTGGTTTTTTTGAGGGGGGTCAGAGATAATATTGGCTATTCAATCACTCTTCCCGCTTTTAGATGTACAATTTTCCCAGTCGCTTTGATAGATCAGAATATAGTTCGGGTCACGTTCGAATCCAATGGTCGAGGGTGTTCGTTCGGCGCGACAAAGTTTCATTAGCTATTGCAACTGGCACTGATAGCGCGGAGTTAAAAAATTCCAACGTGATTACCGTCGGTCTGCTGCCAATTAGTATCCTAATAGGTGTGGAAAGAACAATATTCCGTTTACTAATGGTCTAATGGAACACGTCCTTAGACCTTTCACACGGTCGGCCGTCGCGACTGTGCACTATGAATGCATACGGTCTGAAGAGCCGGAAGAAGTTCTTTTGTACGGTTCCACCGTATTATAATACAATATAAATATATATATTATGTCGTTATTACGAAAACACACAAAAAGACTACCATATAATAACAACGATAAATACAATAAAGGAGTCCTCTTTTGTTTAAACAACAGACCGCCTAGTCCAGGCTCGCGCACAATGCTACGCCATCGAAGCGGTCCGATCACGTAACACTTGAACTTGGGCGGCTCCTCGTCAGAATCCCATAGCACTGCAAGTACCGTGGACTTCATTCAAATCCAAGTACAACCGCCAAACAAAATATACCAAGTAAGCGAGCAAGGTAGAAAAACGAACGCATCAATACCTGCTTCTCAGCCAGACTTCCAAGCTAAAAGGTCAATGACGTTTTTACGTTTAAGTATTCCTAGCAGTATTCTTAACATATCTTAAATACTTGTACATGATTGTTGTGGACGTTGTTCTCAAATCAAGAGACACTGACCAAAACATAAGTAAATGATTTTGGCAAATGCCAATTGTCAATTCCTTATTGCTCTCCCAGACGGCTCTCCGGCAACACTCTATAGAGCGTGGTGACCCAGATATTTTGACATTGAAAATCCAACCGTTAATTACTTTACCAGATGCATAAATTTCCTCGTATTTTTTTTTTTCAATTTGTTTCCCCGCAAAGGCATAAGCGAACACGGTTAGACAACCTCTGTGCCCGTACAACACAAGGTACCTGACCTATCCGTATATTATCATTGTACACACACATACTGCCAATGTACTTAGCCGATAATGATTTACGACCACACGACGATCATGCGCCACTCGAACCCTTGCGCTGCCGGTATAGTCGCCGCACGCCGTCAAATACCTCATTAGCGACCCCATCGAGTACGGCTGGGTTTTACAGAAGAAGAATAAGAAGAAGACGTTGAAAAAAATAGCTGGTCCAGCGTAGCTACCGTTTTACAGACACGTTAGTCTTGCGAACCGAATGCGCGTCTGAAGATGGTAGCAAAATTGAATATCGACAAAACCGCTGAAAAGGTAAAATTCCTCTAAAGATTTCATTTCTACAACATTTCGTTTTGTTCCCAGATACCTGTTGACTGTTGATTACGCTACGCTTAGCAACTAACCTAACCTGATCTAATTAAGAAATGTAATAAGACACCACCGGTTATTTTCACCTCCAAAATATTTTCCATGCCGTTCGACCTGGGCAATTGTATTTCTGACAAAAATCAGGTGCCAATCGACATATGTGGCTATAGTGGAAATAATATACAAAGATCCCAATGACGGCGAAGGAGGTGAAGACGTTTATACATATATACCTATATTTTTTTTTTAACCCGCGGCTTAGAGTAGACATTCCTGTATTCAAACGTCATTTCCGAATAAGGAACCGACCGGCACAACGGCATATTTCTCCTATAATCGGTTAACAGCGCTGGATCACACATTTTTTTCATTTTCTCATCTTATCTAAAAACGACAGTATTGACTACCGTGCAGGCTGTACGTGGGGTGAATTCTGTTTACATAATACAATATTATTAATCTCCGTAAACTTGGACAAGTAGTACTTAAACGGTAAATTCGTTATCGTCAAACAAATATTATATCAAGCACAAAAAAATTAATTTTTCCCTCAAAGTACCGACGTTAGATAAGATTATGTCTTATGATCAGCTGATAGGTATAATTTGCCAAGTCGTATAAACTATGTCGTTTGAGAGATTTCTAGACACGTGTATTTTAAATAAATACATGTACATAATATCGTATTAGACGGACACGACAACGTTGTAAATTAAAGTGTTGATATTATCGTTAAACCAAGTGGCATAATCGTTTTGCTCATAAAACGATATTGTAATTTATGAGCCGAGCTACGTTACACTGTAGCTGCCCACCGTATATACTTAAGTGATTTTCACGACTATACATATTATTATACTTATGAAATATCGCACACACCGTCGATTCGCCCAGTATCGCTTTGGCCATCACAATGTGTTTTCTGACCCGGTCGGACTGAGAATTTTAACTCTATTTTTCACAACCACTTGTGTGTGTGCGTACTGTACAATCATTTACATGACATCAACCCGAGTGGTTATTATAGAGTATTCTTATTATTATTATTGTGGACAAAATTCCTCGAAGAAATGTTAACCTAACCGCGGACTACCTCCGGAAATCTGAAATTATTACCATAAGTCGTGGTCTAACGTTAAGAAGTTACAGCAAGTCTAAACGACGTTCAAATCAAACACACGTCTTACGCCAGGTCATAACATCGTGTTTAGGTGTAATAAAAAAAAAGTTAAAAAAAAAAAATCATAATATTACTAATGTACGTTCATAAAAATATATCATCCGAGTGTATTATCTGTGTTTGGGCAACGGCGGTGGATTCCACATACAACACACGGCGAGGTCGAGGGATAGAGAGAGGAGAGTGGTTATTATTGCCCGAACTCTATTAACACCACCGAACACGGCAAGTCGGAAACGGTTGTAATATTGTATTGCTGCTCATGTCATTTTGGGTGGTCCGAAAATAATATTTATATTCAAAACCAGATCACACCGAGAAGAAGAAACGTACACTTACTAAAGTCCAATACACTTACCATTAACCGTGTATAAAATTAAAAAAAAAAAATAGAAATAATTAGTGGTCGAGAGCCAAAAGCTGATGTGTGAAAAAAATACAATTTTTGGGGCGGTTTATCCGTTATGTGTACTTAAGCTGGTGTATAATGTATATTTCCTTTTACCAAAATATGGTGTTCAAAATCGCATAACACCATTGGGGCGTGTGGATTTGTGGGAAATGGAACAAAAAGAAAAGAGATGGTGTCGGACAACCCTAACCTAACCGCAGAAGAAGAACCGTTGTAGGTCTTTTAAACTGTCATTTAACTGTACATTTTTATATCCAAAGAGAACCCGTTCGGGTAGGTTAAGTCCGAGTTGCAGGACATTATTTACACTTTGCCCGAGGGCCAAATAATATACTCTTTGTTTACACAGTTGCCCGTAGGTACGGTAATTATTATTACCGAGGTTAATAAAAATATTAATATGTTACATTATACACGAAGATAATGTAGTGCGATGGAAGGTAATTTTTATAATATTATAACGCCACAAGCTGGACGTGCACCAAGTTATTGATAATAATAATATTATTTACATTGTTCGAAAACTACAAAAACACACACCGCGTTCGAACGCGGATAGGAAAACCATATTATGATTAATTTTAAAAATTTTTTTATTATTATTATTTAATTCCAACGTTGAGAGTCAGCGGCGTACTCGGTATAATATATTATGTGCATTATGTATAATAATATTATATTTCTATACATAATTTAATACAAAGATACCTCTATAATATTATATTAGTCGATAACTCTAGCTATATGTATGATCACGCGAGTGTATTGATTTGTTATCTCGCGTGATCTATAGAATTTACATACACATAAACATTATACGAGTACGCCGAGCAAGTTGTATGAAATGTGAATTCGAAATTAGTATTGCTCCGACATAATAATAAAGTAGGTGCTTTAAATGTATATATTATTGTGACTGTGTGTGTAGGTTATATCCATCTCGTGGTGGATCCAATAAGGGGTCGTGTGGCAACGACTACCTCGTGTTTTATTGCCTTTAAACTCCATCGCCTTACAATGAGTTTTTCAGGAAGGTATAATTCAAAATATAAAGGTACAATAGTTGTGCCCGTGTGACATGACTAATGGTCTAATAAAGAGAACATATTTTAAACTATAATGATCAAGTACAAACCCATTAAAAACGACTGATAATTATTATGTTCATCGATTAACCTTATAATGTACGATAAACACCAATTATAATAAAGCTATTAAATAAAAGATTATTTTTTTAATTTTATTTAGAAAATAAAAAGTCTTGCGACCAAAGAAGAGTTTCTGTAAAAATAATGTCAAAACATTGTAAAA